TACGCATGCGCAAAGAGGAGAACTCGAAGTGCCGAAGAAATGTGGGAGGGAGGTAGCCCCACAACTCTCTAAAACCATTTCGGGTGGTTCAGTATTTTAACATACAGTTTGGCAAAGGCTTTGGTTTTCAAAGAATTAAATATACACTAGTCCCACGAACTTGACATAATATGGACTAAGTTTATATGGTTGAGTTTTATGGAATAAGGAGTGGATTTTTCAGAACTTGTAATATTTAACTGTAAATAATATTATTCATATTGGCATACAAAGTACGGCATACAATTAAATTAATATTGATATTTTATATCAAGTTCTAGCAATATAGGAGTCATAAAAAGAACAAATACCCTAAGATAATAATAATAAAAAGCTTACATGCAAAAAATGAAGAAAAATTATTAGTAGTAGTTGGTAGAAAAGTATTGTGCGATTGTCTCTCACACTCATTCTGTCGTCATGCAGCTTCATCCCATGAGCAACGGAGGATCAAAATATCCATACCAGAAACGGAGCATTCTTTCAGCAGCCTTCAGTCCTTCACTATGGGTATTCATTTTAGCTTTTCTGTTGTTTTCAAGCTCTAAGTTTTCTGATTCACCTTCACTTTTATCCACAGTATCTTTCCCCAGTGCTTCTCCTAAAGTTTCACTTTAAGTCACTTTCAGCAAACCACATACCCTTCCTTACACTCCTTTTCACAAAATGTCCATTTTCACCATATTTCTTGCACCGCCATTTAAACTTAACTGTAATATCCTTCCTTTCACACAATCTCAACTTATTATTATTATCAGATAAACGATATTTTAAAATTTAGAATTCACTTTACATAACGCATGCAATCCGAAAACTAATCAACACTATTTCACACAACACACAATGAAGCTTAATACAAAATAATTTTTCCAAATTAACCCCCTTTTCCGATTAAAGAACTGTAATTCGTCCATTAATGTCACATGACATATCTCATGATCTCTCATTTCCCTCACACAAAATAATGCGTAATCGGAACTGAGTGCTTCTCACATTATTACCAAAGTCCTAGGTAGTAACCTTTATCGCCTCCAAAATGTCACCAAACTACCAGTTACCATATTCCAAAGATCAGCCCAACGTCTCTCAAAATTTTTTTTTTTTTTTTTTTTTTTTTTTTCATTTTTGTTCTTTAGAGTCAGAAAATACTTCAATTAATCTTTTTTTAAGAGTGTCATAAGCATCAATAACCGGAGGAGGATCAAGGAGGATCCCAGTGCTTCTCCTAAAGTTCACAATTTTCATATTGTCCCATCCATTCTGCAACACCACTATCAGTAACTTCTTCGCAGTCTGGAATTTTTTGAAGTAAGCCAACTATTTCACAGTTTTCTGTCTCTTCTGCGCTTTTGTGAATTTTATTTTCTGAATAGTCCAGGAACGAATGAGGCTTATCTGCTGGATTTCACTCCAAGAATGAACTATCCATCCAACATATCTATTTTCTTCAGTTTCTTGGTCATATCACACCCTTCATCCATGGCTAGGATAAAAGGTGAAAGAACTTTATGTCTGTATATTTTCTTCAATGCCTCCAAAATGCCCTGGTCCATCAGCTGACACATTGAAGTTATGTTAGGAGGGAAAAACATGGCTCTTATATCTTAGTCTCCTAATTGTTCTGCATCAGGATGGAAATGAGGCATTGTCTAGAAAGAGAATTGCCTTCCTTGGTAGATTTTTTCATTTTAAAAACTTTCCCACAGATGGAACGAACTGCTGATGAAACAATTCATTAAATACTGTAGCATTCATCCATTCATTTGACTGATTCTGATACCAAACAGGAAGATCATAATTGATATCAATCCCACTAGTGTATTTTTTTGCATTTTTAAACACCCGGGTTTTTTTTTTTTTTTTTTTTTTTCTTTGCCTATAAGAACTAATTTGAGCTTATGGCTGCCTGTTGCTTTGCTGCTGATGAAACAATTCATTAAATATTGTAGCATTCATCCATTCATTTGACTGATTCTGATACCAAACAGGAAGATCATAATTGATATCAATCCCACTAGTGTATTTTTTTGCATTTTTAAACACCCGGGGATTTTTTTTTTTTTTTTTTTTTTTTTTTTTTTTCTTTTGCTTATAAGAACTAATTTGAGCTTATGGCTGCCTGTGCTTTGGTTCGTCACAATGTCAAGCACATTGTGACGCTGTGCTTGAATTTTTGGTAGCCAGGTGCCGATTTTTCTTCCCTGGATGACAGCGTTTTCGAAGGTAGCATTTAAAAATTCAGACTGGTCTCATCACAATAATAAATTTGATCTCCAGCTATGCCCTCTTCAATTAGTTTGGGAATTTTTCTTGTATACAGTACAAAGCCCAAGATCCAGATGTCCAATATTTAGAATGATCTAAAATCCAGACCTCAAAACCACCAACAACTTTTTTTTATTAATGTTTTGTGCATGCGCGTTTGATTTTTTCCTCCGTAGATAAAACATGTGGAGAGTCACAATTCTTAATTTCCCTTTCGCACTAAATAAATACCTCATTATTGAAGAAACTATAATTTATCATAAATCTGTGTGATCAATAATTTGGCTCCATAACTGCATATCCGACTGGAGTAAAAGTATATTTACGGGTACTCCTTGGCGAAAATTGGTGATTTTTGGCAGTACATAAATACTGAGTTTGTGCAATTCTTTGACTTGTTATTTTGGCTTGTGTAGCCCGTTACACAAAGCCAAAATAACAAACAAAAAATTGCACAAACTCGGTATCCATGTACACATTGACCTATTTTCACTTCAAAAAAATCCCAGAATTGCACAAACTTCACATTCTGCACTCCCTTCACTTTATCCATCGACCTAATTTTACTTAAAAAAACATCAGAGAATTGCACAAGCTAGGCATTGCACACTCCCTTTGTCCATGTACACATCGAACTATATTCACTTAAAAAGTCAAAGGAGCAGCCAACAAAAAAATATCTCAATAAACTACATTTTAAATCAAACAATGAAATAATATAAAAAGGGAAATTCATCTTTGCACTACACAAAGGAAGCATCCACTTACCTTATTTATGAATTAACACGTCTTCAGTCAAACAAAATTCCTTAACAGCATCCAAAAACTTGCTAAAATTATCTGAGCTAGAATCTGTATACTGGCGTCGCCATGTAAATTCACAAAATAAAAGTAAAAAGTAGGTCCTCCGTCAAAATAAAAGTCCTCCAGAAGGTCCGGATTATCCGACTATATGTTTTTCCTTCCTACAAACAGAACACTTAATAATGGTTACTAAGTAAACCTTTACACACCAGTCAAGGAATGCTCTTTTCCCCTTTCTTTCCAAATTGTACAGAAACTTCAAATTAATCTTACCACATTCAGCCATTTTACCGTCTAAACCAGAAAACAAGCAATGTACTTCCTAACCAATACACACGACAAACCTTTACAAATTCAACACAATCATGCAACCAATTACGTCATAATAGGGTTTCCATAGCATTCAACTACGCAGGCTACCATAAATAAACCACCACTTGGCAATAAATGAAACAACAACTTTGCAATAATACAAGAGGTACCCTTATCTCTACTCTAACCCTGATGGGCATACATCTCAAACCGAAATATTCTAGATAGTAACATCATTGATTTTAGACCTACTACAGTACAAAGTCCGTAATCGACTCCTTGGGACTTCGGCAATTCCGGATTAGGGGTTTTTCCGGATTATAGATCATCAATTTAAATCTGGTAAGATGGCATGCAGAAATTATACAATTAAAAATATGAAACCATAATTTATGAAATAAAGAGCAATTCTGATCTAAAGGGTATCAAAATTTACAAAAAAAAAGCTTAATATTATTTGCTTAATTTAGTAAACATTTCTATCAATGTAAGTTATTTAAGTTGTTTCGTTTTTGTGCTAATACTTTCTGTTTAATTCTATAAACAGACATAATTTCTTGTTCAGTTACAAAGTTCCACTATTCAAGTCCTGTAATCACTGTGTCGAGTAACTTGTCAATCGAAATTTTTTCGTTTTCAATAATGTTCTCTATTACTTTCTTCACTATCGGAAACGCGCATGAGTAAACACTTTACACGCTTTACGCACATGCATAAGCTTGTGGCTTTGAGGTCCGGATTATAGATCATTCCGGCTTAGAGACTTTGTACTGTAATATTTTATATCACTGATGCCAGTGTAGCGAATCATTATTTATTATATTTTCCTTTCATCACCGCATATTTATCATCACATGACAACTTGAGTATTTTGACGACTGTAAACATGTTTTTGGAGCTGTCCTGAGTAATATTGGATAATAAATTGTGTTTTGATACTTCATCAAGTGTCAGCATTAATCCATCTAAATCACATGAACCTGTACAAACGTATCAATACTTTTATGTATATAGGATGGTCATAAAAATGCTTCCTCACTATATGAACTTCTTGTGGCCTATCCACTCAGCCAATTATAATGAAGTTTCAGATAGTTTTGTTTGAATGTAGATCATTCCGGATAATTGATTTTGATGGTTTAAAAACAATAGTCCTCTTGGTTATGGTTACAGAGAAACAATTTTGAATGGCTGCACCCACTTTTCTTTTGCGCAAATTGAGCAGCACATTGAAAAACAATAATGACATTGACTATATTATAGGGCTATAATATTAATTACAATAACTATATTATAAGGACTACATTATAAGGAACTAATGAAGAAAGAATTGTGACCTAGAGAATGAATCAAATTGTATTTACTTTTTAGAAGTTAAATATGTTGAAATATTTATGTCCAGAAATGGAAGGGGTTTTAAATTTAAAATACGGCACTTTATAGAAAATGTTTAAAAACAAGAATATGAAAAATCTGATTTTTTTAAAAGATTTAAAAAATTTAAAAAATATTATAAAATATAATTAATGTATTCTTTCTTTTTCTTTCTACCCTATCACGCTTTTCTATTATTATTTTAGAGAAAACTGTGATATTGAAGAGGAAGACGAAGAAGATTTTTCAGGTGAAGAATGTGAAACATCAGACGTAAATGATGATCAGGATAAAGATGATAGTGAGGAAGATATTGATGCCAAATATGATTTAGACACATATGATAATGGTATGTTATACATCTTTCTAAAATTTACAGTAGTTCAAGTATCCTATTTATTAATGCCTGCAAGTGGGTAAAATGGATTAGGCCACTGACTATATATGGGATTTAGCTTTTAGTGTTCTGTGATACAGCAACATTCAGAGTCTAGCATGTTGAATTTTCTGCACTTCTCACCCAGGAAGTGCGTTAGTAGCACTCAAGATTTAAAATCTATTTACACTGCAGTTGAGTACTTTGGTTTTTCTTTAGTATTAATTTATTATATCCAGCTGTATTTTAGTATTGCAGACTGTGGAGCAAGATTGTGGTATCACTAATTTGTCCTTTGAAGGGTTACTGCAAAGATTAGATAAAGGAACATCTGTGAAGACACTGGAAGAGTACTGTACAGTGGCATAGCGAGCATAACTGGCGCCCGGGGCAAAATACCTTTTTTGGTGCCCCCCCCCAAAAAAAACACTTACAGTAATATAATGTATAGAATGTATTCGTAATAAGAAAATAATGCAAATAATAATAAAATGCTGAATATGCCATAAAATACTCTAAAATTTATTAAGAACAGTCACTACCTAACTACACTAGCATTGGATTCGGAAATGTATCTGTGTCGGCGGAAAAATCAGACATACAATAATCTAGAATTAGTTAAAAAGGTATTACTTATTTTACTTATTTATATAACTGTTTTTTAAAAAGTACAGTTTTTAAGCAATTAAAAGTTTAATATATATTATAGATAAGTAGATATATTTATTAATAAAAATATAGTACTATAATACATTAATATAATTAATTACTATGTATACATTTTTCTTGTCTTGGATGAAACAAATTTATCAATTACCTCATCAAATTCGGTCATTTTAAATTTTTCTCTTTCCACATTTAAAAATGCTACATGTCTTAGGGGATCTTGTCCTATTATTGATTGTAAATATGTCAAAATTTATTTTAATTTGCTGAACGAACATTCATAGCTAGCATTTCATTTGATAATGAAATTGTAAGGAGTATTTGAAGTGCTACTCTTTGGTTTGGAAAAACATTTTCTCCATAGATCTGTAATGGAGTTTTAGGTTCAGTTTCTTTTCTACTGCGGAATAACATCTTGCAGACATTCAATGCTCAAAAGAATTAGGGGACATTGCGAGTTCGGTATTAAATAACTATATAATCGACAACCTTTTTAACAAAAGGAAATAGAAGAGATTATAAAGGAAAATTATTGCGTTTACAAATTTGGGAATATGCAAATTTAGTTTGTGACGTAGGAAACTATACGTTTTAGATAAGGAGTAAGGAGCGACCGGCAGCATTCCTTTTTAGTAGGAGACTAAAAACAACTGACACGTGTTGAATGCTTTGTAGCAGTGAATATACGATGTCTCAGCAAGATGACTTAGTTGAATCGGTAACCAGGAAGACCATCAATCGTTTACAGGATAGTCAAACGCAATCCGTTGCAGCGAAGGGTTACGAGTTTCCTAAAATGTCATTTCCAGACTATGGAATCCGTTTTTGGAAACTGGGTAAGTTTGAGAAATGCGGGACAGGGTCGTGTTATCGTTTTAGAATAAAAAAACGGGAGTTATATGTACATTTCGTTTAAAAAAATAAAAATATATTTCTTTTTTAGAGAAATAAAGTGGTTAGAAAGAACGTTTTGTATGCGGAGATATTTGGTTGACATTTTATTACACGTTTTATCAGACAAATCAAGAAAATAAGTAATTAATTATATTACAATAATTATTAATTTTAAATATATTTTCCAGAAATCAATAGAAATAAAAACTGAAAATTTCTGGAAAATCTTGTTTGAAGACCATTTGGCGCCCCTCAGTGAGCGGCGCCCGGGCATCATACACCCCCTTGCCCCCCCTTCGCTACGCCACTGGTACTGTAAGATGAGATCCTTAACTTTGTGTGACACAAATATATCTGCCAACTGTACCAATTTTTTATCACATCTCACAGTTTTTAATTTCTTAGGTTATGCTAAGGAAAATGTTTCCCAGAATTTAATGTAATTTATTGAATTAATGAGCTTAAGTTGTGCAAATTTTCCCTCTGATAATGATATTAAGAACAATTTTTCTTGTTAATTTTTATGTGGTCTGAATTGTCTTAATACAGTACGAAATCTGTAATCCGGACGTCCATTATCCAGAATAATTTATAATCCGGACCTCAAAGCCACAAAAATTTTTTTTTATGCTTTACACATGTGCATAATGCGTTTAATGTTTACGCATGTGCATTTAGCACAAAAAACGAAGTGACTTAAACATCTAACATTGAAAGAAATGTTTAATAAAGTAAACAAATAAATATTAAGCTTTTTTTTGTGTGTGTGTAAATTTTTGATACCCTTTAGATCATAATTCCTCTTTATTTCATAAATTATGCTCTCATATTTTTAATTGTATAATTTCTGCATGCCATCTTACCAGATTTAAATTGATTATCTATAATCTGAAAAAAACCTTAGTCTGGAATCGCCGAAGTCCCAATGAGTCCGGATTATGGACTTTGTACTGTATATTGCACACATTTCTAGAACCCTTTATAAATATTCCGCCAATGTTGATTCAGGTTGTTTCGTGTATTGCCAGTTATTTCATTTATGGTAACCTGAGTAGTTGAATGTTCCTTAAATATACTTTTACCTAGAATTGGGTGCTCCTTCGACTTTTTTAATAAAAATAGATTAATGTGTACATGACAAAGTCAAGGGAGTGTGCAATGCCAAGTTTGTGCAATTCTCTGATGTTTTTTTAAATGAAAATAGGTCGACATGTACATGGATAAAATTAAGGAAGTGCACAAACTCTGTATCCATTTACTGCCAATTTTTGCCAAGGGGTACCCGTAAATATACTTTTACCTTCAATTTTGTTTTACTTCATAGCATAATAAAGATAAACTTTGTGACATCATAAAGTTTATTCACATAAGATGTATATTAGTTATTATTTTCATCATATTTAAAAGTAATTTGGTAGACAAAAACTTCCTTTTCCTATTCAGGATTTTCTCTGTATAAAAGTATAAGAAAATTATGAACTAAAATCAGCTAAAGAACATAAAAGTTAGAATATCTAATTAAAATATTAGTATATTTAGATAAGAACCATGTTATAAATATTTCAGTAACATGAGTCATGCGTAATAAAGGGATTTAAGTCAGCCTGAAGTTCTTTTGAAATAGCATCCCCACTTAGTGCAAAAACTTCCTTGAAAAACTTTTTTTTTTTTTTTTTTTTTTTTTTTTTTCCCCAGTTTTCAAGGTTGGCAGCTTTACATTAAAAAAAAAAGTTTATGTTTTTTTTTTTTTCTGGGAAGGAGTCAGAAAATTTTTAATTTGCAGATGCTGAAGAGATTCATTTGGCATCTGATTTCTGTTTTCCATAGTTTGGCAGGGGCCTAGGTTGACATATTTAAACACAGCTTATGCAGTACAAACCCCAAGATCCAGAATTACCGGAAAACTGGTGATTTCCAATTCTGTATATTTCTGAGTTTTAGGTCATCAATTTAAATCTGGTAAGATTATATGTAGAAATTATAAAATTAAAAATGTGAAAGGTTATTTGTAAAATAATCAAGCATTTATGATCTTAAGTGAATTAAAATTTTCAAAAAAAAAAAAAAAAAAAAAAAAAAAAAAAGCTCAGTGTTAACATTTCTTTTGTTTCATTAATTTTTTTTTTTTATCAACTGAAGTTGTTAAACTATTTTGTTCTATAAATTAATGCTTAGAGGGAGATATCATTTCTTGTTTTTAAAATCCTATAACTGGCATGTCAGAAATTCCCATCAAGTTAATCAGCTAAAATCTTTTCATCCTCAGTAACCTCTTTAAAACTTTCTTCCCGTTCAATGGTGATATTTCCAGATTTAAAACCATACTGCAGTTTCACCATTCATTGATTGATGATTGGTGCATAATCTTTTCATACTCAACAAAATCTTTATGACTTTCTTCACAATCAGTGGCAATATATTTTTGCAATTTTGGATTTGCCAAGAAATGAACTTGCTATTCTTCAAGAAAAAGGCATGCTGCAGAAATGAAGACTATTTGAATAACTGCCTCGTAAAATTAATTGTGACTAAACTGAAATGGCAACACTTTCTGCCATTTTAGCTTACCATAGATGTTGCTGTCCATTGGCTAATGATTGGGCACTGTCAATGCAATGAAGGACTTATATCATCTTCATTTAGAATTTCTTCACATATTCCAGTGATTAAAAATTTTACCTTTTATATATTATATTATCTTAAAATATTCAAATTCACAACTCTTATCATCATAAAATATGATAGCTGGCTATAAATAATCCTGGCTCCAGCATTTTTGGTGGTGTAAGTGATTAAGTGACCCATAAGGCTGGCATCCCATATTAATAAACATATTCATAATTCAGCTTAAAATATACCCTCATTTAATTGCAGCTTGTGAGAACAATCTAACTGCTGCCCTCCAAAAATCAGTACCATAGGCAGTTTACCTAGGTTGTCAGTGCCTATACTGGCATTTTGAAAAGTATTTGCCGATATATTCACTCATTATCTTGCAGATTTTTTATTAGAATAATTTAAGTATTCTAGGGCAGTTTTACTGCTGCATTGATTTTGAAATGGCTCCTTTATATCTATCTGCATTTCATTGCTCATAAAATTCCCGTATCCGTTGATTGATCTTGTAAAGTTTCAAGGAAAGTGTAAAATGGAAATGCTATTTTTCACTAAAATTTTCTTTCGAAAAAATAACAGTAATAATGATAGACTGAAAAAAAATAATAAATTGTATCAAATCAGAAAGTCCAGAAAAAGTGTGCAATTTGTAATGCTGAGCTTATGTTAATTGGAAAATTCTTTCGTCTTCTTCCCTGCTATGCTAACAGAAGAAAACCAATAAGTACAACATTCTATTCGAAGCAAACATTAATATTTGGAGTTCACTTATTATGTACAAGATTAGATATGATTAAAAAATGCTGCCCACTGTAACCTTCAAAAGTCAAAAATAAAAATGTGATTCATTAGCAGACAGTTGTTTAAAGTTGAAACAACATGTGGGTTGATTCAGTATTATTATGAATAATGATATCTGTTTAGCAGCCAAAAAAGTCTGCTGATCAGAACAAAAATTAACTTTTTGGGACATTTGTTTTTCCTTGAGTATTCTATTATCCATTCCTAGACTAAATGAGAAGAAGCAGAAATAAAAAATTATGAAAGGTCAAGGTCATTCAAGTTGTTGGACTCTCAAATTTTGGAATTTGTACTGTATTTCTTTTCATATGTAATTTTTGGCAAGTGTATAATGATCTGATTGCATAGGAATTTTATATTTTCTCTTGTATGAATGTTAATAGAATCAAAGTTCTCTTTATTGTCTTTTATGATAACAGCCCTCTAGACATTAACCATTAAGTGATTTATCATAATGACCCTTTTTCTAGTTCTTTTTGATTTTCTCCACCCCTTTATAAAAAGTTACCAATTCAATGGAAAATAATTTTTCACCACGCTAATAAGCAAAAGGCAACAGCCTTTTTGGAAAATGGTGTGCACTAAAAATCCATACTAGAGCAATGAATCAATAAAATTTTAAAAAAAAAAAAAAACTAAAGAGCAGCGTAATAAAAAAACACTTTTCAGGAAATTCTTATGTACGTTTTTGGGGGGGAGGGGTTGTTTTTCTATTATTTCTTAAACCATAGGTAATTGCACAAATTTGGCATCACCACATGCTGTTGTTCTGTCATGTACATAGCAATCTATTTTTGCTTTAAAAAAAATCTTGCATACATTTGGGATCAAATACAAATTTCATTTAATGGAATACAAATTTTTGCTTTCTCTACTGTTAGACAAAATGCGATATTTCTATAAAAAATGTGGTGCTTTTTTTTTTTTTTTTTTTTTTTTTTTTTTTTTTTTTCCCCATCAGACAAGAAACTTCAGTGTTTATCTGAATCATGGCCATGATTGTCGCAGAAATACATTTTGGCAATGTATGGATTGCCTATTTTGGTGGTAATAGATTGCTTCATGAATATTTTTAGAGGGTGCAGCTAATCAGAGAGAAACCTTTTTCATAATAATTCATCAGTTTTTTTACTTTTATTGTAAATTTGTCTGAGGTTGAATATATATTTCAAGTATAAAAATTAAATACATTATATTAAATATTTCAGTATTAAATATTTGGATGATATGCCCAATCCTGACAAAAAATCACTTGGTACAGGGCTATGTTGCCAAATTAGGCAACTCGGAATATTATGAAAATATCTTTATCTAGCAACTGACTAATGGTTGCATGTGTAATGCAGCCATCTATCTTGGTGTGGTGATTGCATGCACAGTTTTGAAATGTGTTTAGACTGATTATTCTTACACATTTTAATTGCTGTAATGTAGTTTTGCAGACTATAAATTTTCATGTTTACTAGAAATTTCATTTTTAACATTTTTATTTAATCACCATTTTATAGCTTAGGCAAAATATCATATAAGAATATAATTATATGTAAAATATCATTTGATTAAAAATACTAAAAATTTCAGTTTGTATATAATTAGGCTTATCATTAAATTTTTAACTCTAACCTGCACAATTTTACTTACAACACAATGAGAAAATACTCACAGCAGAAAATAAAGCCTACTAGCATTAGTATTATTATTATTGAGCATACTATTACTGAAAAGGCTAAATACAGATATTGTTAATAAAAAATAATGAGTTGAAGGAAGTTTTTATTGATGCTACTGAACGTACCTTATTATTAAGTAGTTTTCAGTATTTATCTCAAAAGAAAAGTGGGACCTTTCTTTAAATATTCTTTTTTTTTTATATTAGCATCAAAAGATTCACTGCAATTTAGTTGTTCACTGCTAATCTTGTAACTTATTAAAGCTTTTATGGTTGATTCAGCCATTTTACCTCTTTCTTCAGATTATATGATATTCATTATTGAAAATATTATTTCAACTAGTTCAAATGTGCCTAGCATGTTGAAAATGTATTCTGTAATTTGAATGAAACTGAACAAAGAAATTTGGGGGGGGGGGGGGGGGGGGGTTATTGGGCAGTCAGTTGGGACTTAGAGCTGAGAAAGTGAATAGCAACACAAACTGTCAAAGCTGCTTCTTTACCTGCTATGAGTTCTTTGCTGCTTAAATTAGTATCTTTAAAGAGTGGTAGTATATTTGAGAAAGTTCCAGCTGCTGCTACTAGGCTTGCTTTATGTGATTTGCAATATCCAAATGCCACTTTGAAGTACTGGAAATTTTCACTTTGTCAATATGATCACAAACTTTCTTCAAAAATGGGTAATCCTTTTTTAACTCACCAGTAAAGTTTATTTTGTGTTTTGGAAATCAATTTAATGTACAAAATACTGTATATTTCGGAATATAAGCAAAGTGTGTGTTTTTTCTTCAAATTTTTATCCAAAAATTCAAGGCCTGTATATAAACCAAAATGAAAACTCAGTATGTAATGTTCAACTATGTTGCTTAAGGGCAAAAACCTTACCAAGCAGGCAAAAGCATAATCAAATCACTGTAGTGTAAAACAAGGATGAGTGGGAAGAGAAATGCTTATACAGCAAATTTCAAAAACATGTTTGAGAGTGGAGAAAAATATCTTGAAGTAGTAGAGATGCCAAAATTCAAAAAGGTAGAATATGGTCATTTTCCATTATCCTGGCACAAATTTTGACTAACTGGCTGTGGCACAGGGACTACTTCATCAAATAAGGACAGTCCTAGTCAAAGCAGGAAATCTGGTAAATCCACATATAATCTATATCAGTTGTTTCAGAGCTTGTACTGGGAAGAAGTGATGCATTATTCTGAATACATTTCTTAAAGTTAAAAAATTTTCAGCTAACATATTGCTTTTTCTAAACAGAAACCATTGCACAATTAATAATACATTTGTCAACTGCATGATTGCATACTGAACTGAAACTATTGCGTAATGAATAATGCATTTGTTTTCAGATGAATCTTTATTCTAAAAAAAAGAAAAATTAATGGGTTTGATGTATTTAAATATAATAGTTGATGATATTAGTTTCTCTCGCTTTTGTGCTGATTAACTTGTGTTTAGTTTAAATAATTAAAAACATGTAATTAAAATTCTAGTTCTTAAAATTAAATAGAAAGTAATAAGTAAAAATTAAGGGAATAATCTAACATCTTGAATTACACTGAATATCAAACTAACAGAAAAAAAAGAGAACAATTTCAAGTGTAATTCCTTATTCTTTTGAAGGTTCATGTGCAATCACTTGTGAAATAGTATGTAAATATTTTAATCTCAAATGATATCTCCATTTTTATTGCATTAAAGAACTACCTACGTATAATCAAAAGTATCCCGCTTTGCTTAATGATATTGCATGGTTTAAATCCATTTGCTGTTCCAAGGAGGTACACAAATTTACTACTATGAAATCAACTGTCGTTTTTACTATTTAATTGATATTGTTTGTTTATGATCATCTGATATTTAAAAAAAAATTATTTCAGATGAAGATCGTCCATTTTTCAATATAGCTGATGTAGCAGTGCACGTAGATAACAAAGATGACAATTATTTGATTGACCATGATGCGGTAAGTTAGAAAACTATAATACAGCATCTGAAGTTATATTTTAGGAGTAACATTAAGACATTTATTGCAAATATATGTTCTCTCTTTGATTGATGCAATTCTGATATGATTAATGCAGTTTCTCATGTAATGAATTGTAGTAGAAACCTTAATGTGCCATTAATTAAATTTATTATATATTTATTGGCACATTTCTAAGCCAAAAAAATACTTTAAAGATTTATTTAACGTAATAATTGCTTTTATGGAAATAAGGATAAATATAAAGTTCAATCGATTTCTTTAATGTGTAATCATAAGTTGCCATTTTCAAACATTTTTTAATATTGAATATTAACCCTTTGAGTGCTGTGACATCCAATCATGTGATTTTTTTGTCACTTGTTATATATTAGCTTATAATTTAAGATATTTTGCTTTCCTACTTTCATTAATAATATAAATGCTATCTTGGTGAATGTAAATTTATGAAAATAGAGATTAAAATAGGTAACTATAAATATTTAGTTAATAAAACCTCTTTAAATACAGGTCTTCATGACAGATCCAAAAGCCCAGGCCGCTCAGAGGGTTAAAGCATGCTATAAGTAGTTTATAATTTTAATATTCCATATGTTAATTAATGCAATCTCTGTATTTATCCATGCTATGTATTCATATTTTATTCAATTTACTTATGTATGACTAGTATAAGGAACATTAAATTTTTGCTGACTTATTTTCATGCTTTTAAAATTTATTTTTTTCATTGTATTAAAAATGTATTATTGTCAGCATTTGTTTACTATATATTTAGTTATGTATTATGTTACTGTATTTGTATGTGAAAAGCTTCATAACAATATATTCAAATCCTCCACATCAAAATCATCATGTATATATTTATATATATGTTGTGATTTTTATTGGTATGTCGATAAAACTTTCCCCATTTTTTATTAATGTACTATGCATTCACGAGAGAAGTCCCTCATATCAGCTGTATAAAAATGTTCCTGTATTACTTCACTATTCTCTGTAAACAATTATATGAAGTTATTGGTCAGATAGATCAACTCGCTGCATCAAGAGAACAATGAATATTTGTGCTGGCGTCAACATGTTAAAGAGTCTTTCAGATTTGATATTTTATATATATTAAGTTAGACTTCCATGATTAAACCTTAAAAATTCTTTAAATAGTTCTTGAAAATTGCTTGAATTTATTTTTTTTTTTGGGGGGGGGAGTACAAATCTCAGATCAGTGATAATTTATTGAAGGCAAATATAGTTAATTAATATTATTTTCAATGTAACATGGCAGTGAAAATTAATTTTTGGTATTTACTGTAAAAAAAGTGATTGGGTGCCTAACAGTATGCTGTAATCATAAGTATTGATTTTTGAATTCTTGTTTGAGTGATGTATTTTTATTTGCATTCTCTGAATTTTACATGTTAGGAACGAGAAGATGAAGAAGAAGAGGAGGAAAATTTTACTATAAAAGATACTGATAATCTTCTAGTTGTTGGCCATGTTGAAGAGGAAAGTTCTGTATTAGAAATATATGGTATGATAATATCCCTCTCATGCCTCACCCCAATTTATAGTATTAGAATTCTTTTTAAACTCAAAAATATTTTTGTAATAACTTTTTGTGGTGAGCTGTGGTTTCTATGTGTGTGAGATATGTTTAAAAAAGAATGTGCAATTTTCCCTCATTTAAAAATTCAGTGTTGAAATTCTTTTTAATCTGTAATTCTTTTTATAGCTAAATACATTTAGAGTAAATTGTTCAAATAAAGGTGTTTTTCCTTATGCTTTGTAACCAACATTATGCTGCTCCTTGTATTTTAGTTTTAAATAATTTGAATAGTTCTTCACTTTAATGACAATAAATATTGATATATTTCATTTTTTTGCCTTAGTTTTAGTCCGCATGTTGCTAAAAATTTGGTCTACTAATAATCTAATGGTTAACGCTACAGAGCCCTCTTATTCATCTCTGGTCCCATTTTCAAGGATTAAATGGGCTGACTAAATGGTATTTTTTCATATTCAAAATTAATAGAATTATTTCTCTTGGAAAATCTCCACAAAGATATGCTTTCTTTTGAGCCGATAACCCTCAGGTGCACTGCTGTAGTAAATAAACCAACTTATAAATAACTTGATCTTTGCCAAGCTTTTGAATGATAGACACAATACAACTGCTGAAATCACTAAAAGTATTGCAGGAATATCCTGTATAAAACATAACTGTTTGTAGAAATATCCTTTATAAAACAGAACTGTTTGTAGAAATATCCTTTATAAAACAGAACTGTTTGTAGAAATATCCTTTATAAAACAGAACTGGTTTTATAATTTTTCCTTTCAAAATATGCCATGGAAGTTAGGAATGTTTAGTTTTAGAATTGCACTCTGTTTGTTGCAAAATGCTATGTTAAAATTGCACAATAAAGACTCAGTCACTTCCATTGAGCTATGTACTCGTATGTGTGAATTCAGTGAAAGATGATTAACAGAAGAGTACCAAATAATGTTTTATATGTAATAGATTCTACATCATAAAACATTATTTGGTACTCTTCTGTTATCAGGAGACTGTATTCAGAAATGTATGTATATGCACATATGTATGTATATATGTACATACATACAGGAACACATACAGCTATACATTCATGCATACATTTCTGAATCCAGTTCTGATAACAGAAGGGTATCCATTATTTTTCTGTTTAAGAATAACTTTTCACTACTATATTTTAAAGAAAATTATTTATTAAAATTAAACTCAAAAAGGCAAAATGGTGTTATTATCACTGTTTTTTTTTTTTTTTTTTTTTTTGTTTATCTTCCTCTATTATTGGAATTTGGTAATAGGCTTAAAGCAGTTAAAGTTTAGAAAATGTTAAGTGGGCTTGCCCATGGTGATTTTGAAGGTCTTATAATATTGTTTTCAAGTAAATTGAATTCTTGTTTGGCTATTTCTAATCTTTTAGGATTTAACTGTCTTGCTTTTGAATAAATTGGTTTGCTATTAATAGTTGTTTTAGAAATTAGTAAATCAGGTTTTCTTATTTTGGGAAATTTTGCCAAAATATTAGAAAATTTATAATATTTGTACATTTGATTCATTGGTTGACAATGTAATTTCATCAGTAATGCCAGTTTAGTTGCATCATACCTTTTTTTTTTTTTTTTTTTTTTTGTTACTATCAAGCAATAAGTTAAATGGGTTAAGCAAATCTGCACCTAAAGTACCTTTAATGACTTTGGCTACGATAAATGGCCATTAAAAATTACGGCAAAGTCCCAAATCAATCAAGTTTTGTCTCAAAGACAGGATATCAATACCATTTGCAGCATAAAGTTTAAAGTTACCACTTATTTTATCATTATATGTGGCTGGAATTAGATTTACATCCGTACCACTGTCAACCAAAAAAATGTATGCCCATTTTTTTGTCAATTACAAAAATTTATAATGGAATTTAAAGTAATTCTTTAACTCTTCAGCAGCAGAACCAGCCACTAATTTTGATTCTATTGGATGGGCAAGTTTTCTTGCATTTTCCATTAACATGGTGGCTTACATTTTTCCAGAAAGCATCATGATATGAAAAGTGGTAATATCACAGTTTGCTATCGGGGTTGCAACGCCTCACTTCTGCTTCTGCCTGTAGACAATGATCTGTTATTTCTTTCAATTGGCTGGTGATGGGAATGGAGCTCTTTAATCTACTGTTTCAATGAAGATATCTTCTCCACTGATTGTGAAATGGTATTTGACTATGTGCTTGAATTCTTAACTTTAGTTGAATGAGCCTCACATACTTCAGTTTGTGAATGCATGTCAAAAATTTTATCTGCCATAATCACCAATTTATCAAAACCTTCATCACTAACCACCAGTACAGTCAAAAGTTGTTAATTCGGACACCCATAATCCGGAATGATCTATAATCCGGACCTCAAAGCTACAAACTTTCTGCGCATGCGTTGTGTTGGCGCTTGCGTGTAAGACCTTTACGGCTGCGAATATGCATGTGCGCAAAATACGTTTACGAATGCACGTTTAATATATAACGGACGGTATAAGCTAAGCTAAAATTATCTAATTCACTTAATGTTGCAGATTGCGTTGTTCCTTAATCTTCAAATTGGATCCGGCTTATTATTATTTTTTGCAGACTGTTAGAGCAATTTTATAAAAGTAAGCTTGAAACTTTCGATTATGTCAAATAGAATTTCTGATATATATTTACTAATATGTAAAGGATCTACAAAGCGAAAGTATGTTTCGAAGTTCCATTAAACAAAAAAGTGGAATTGCTGCAAAAAAAAAAAATGGATAAAGGCATATCCTTTTTTATCTAAACTTTGTTTATCTTTAACGCCACGCGGCGCGCAATGAATTGGAAGTTGATCTGTCAGCACTATCCTTATCTTCAGGGCAGATGTTTTTATTTTATTTGGCTTATAATTCCTTATTAAATGTAGTATTTCATCTCGATGTACTCCGTCTTTGATATGATTTAAAATCAAATTCCTCGTCATTATAATTCGCTTCCGATAGCGAAGAAAGTGACAGAGGTTATTTGAAAACGAAAAAATTTCGATTGACAAATTAGTCAGTATTCTCGACACAGCAATTATAGGACTTGAACAGCGGAACTTTGTAACTGAACAAGAAATTATGTCTGTTATAGAATTAAAGAGAATGTATTATCACATAAAAAACAAGCAACTTAAACAACTTACATTGAAAGAAATGTTTAATAAAGTAAACAAATAAATAATTAAGCTTTTTTTTTTTTTTTTTTTTTTTTTTTTTTTTGTAAATTTTGATACCCTTTAGATCATAATTGTTCTTTATTTCATAAATTATGGTTTCATATTTTTAATTTTATAATTTCTGCATGCCATCTTACCAAATTTAAACTGATGATCTATAATCCGGAAAAATCGATAATCCAGAATCGCCAAAGTCCCGACGAGTCTGGATTAACAACTTTTGACTGTATATGTTTAATATGGTGTCACAGTTCTTCATCCTGTGATGTTCTTAATACCATGTCAGAAATCTCATTGGTTGTGAAGGATTTAATTTTTTGTAATAGATGGCTTGGTTTCATGTTGCCAATTTCAGTCCCAATAAAAAGGCATTTGATTCATTTATTCCCACTTTCTTTGAATACATTTCATAAATGGTCTTTTGCCAATGAATATTTATTTTTTGTCAGTTATTATGTTTCAAATAATGTATATGTTTAGATTCCATTTGTGAGATATATTTTTATATTTGGTATCTTCTTAGTTATACCATTAAATTGTGCTTCTATCTGAAATGATTGTGATTCTAAATTTCTGACTTATATATTCAGAAAGGTGGAATTTTTACATTTATCTTCATAAATTTTTGAAGAATTAGCACCATCTGACTGGTTTTCTGTCTTCTCAGTATTTGCTATAATATTTACCGTTACCAACTCCAGGTCACCAAAAGAATGTAGTGGTTGCTACATCACAAAAAAATTATTGTTATGTTTAAAAATAACTTTTCACTACTATATTTTAAAATTATTTATTATTTTAAGACATTGATATTTTTAGAACATTATTATAGTAATAAAATTTTTTTCTGTTGCCATTCGCAGTGTTTGCATAAAGCAAAAATTATATAATCTTTACTTCTACAGTTTTATGGTTTGTAGAGGTTACAAATAATTGAGCACCACTGTAGGCTGACGTTTTTTTTAGTAGAATGCAAGCAGGGATTAAAATGCTAATTAGGAGGTATTTATTATACAAAATACTTCAAAATGAAACACACACAAAAAAAAAATTATAATAATAGCCTGTGTCTATTAAAATTAATTTCTTTTACAATTGCAAATGACCTATTTTCTAATTTTGCTTATACAGTCAAAAGTTGTTAATCCGGACTCGTCGGGACTTCGGCGATTCCGAATAATCGATTTTTCCGGATTATAGATCATCAGTTTAAATCTCGTAAGATGGCATGCAGAAATTCTAAAAATAAAAATATGAAACCATAATTTATGAAATAAAGAACAATTATGATCTAAAGGGTATCAAAATTTACAAAAAAAAAAAAGCTTAATATTTGTTTATTTTATTAAACATTTCTTTCAATGTAAGTTGTTTCATTTTTTGTGCTAATACTTTCTCTTTAATTCAATAAACAGACATAATTTCTTGTTCAGTTACAAAGTTCCGCTGTTCAAGTCCGTAATTGCTTGCGAGAATACCGACTAACTTGTCAATCGAAATTTTTTTCGTTTTCACTAACCTCTCTGTCATTCTTCATGTCTTTATCCATTTTTTGCAGCAATTCCACCTTTTGTTTGATGGATATCGAAACATACTTTCATTTTGTAGATCCTTTGGGAGCTCCAGCATTGGAATTCTATTTGATTGACATAATCGAAAGTTCAAGTTTACTTTTATAAAATTGCTCTTACAGTCTGCAAAAAATATAAGCCAATTCGAAGATTAAGGAACAACGCAATCATCAACATTAACTGAAATAGATATTAGATAATTTTAGCTTATACAGTCGTTATACAAAAAGCGCAACGCGAAAACATATTCTGCACTTGCGCACAGTCATTGCGCAGTAAGGTCTTACGCGCATGCTTAAATGCCTATGCGCATGTGTCAACGCTCGCATGCGCCAAAGTTTTATTTTGAGGCTGGATTAGGGTGTCCGAATTAAGACTTTTGACTGTAAGGGTGGGGAAAAAGTGGCCCGGAAACAGAGCACTCTCTTCTCTGAGTCACTTTTATTTGCCCCACCCTATATATGCTGTCCCAGAAAAGAATGAAATTCAAGATAATTAATATTAAAGTTAATTGGCAAGCATTGCAAAGATGACTATAAATATATGTCTTCAATTTAAAATATAAAAAAAGTCAATTGGAATTTTTAGATAAAACTTAAATATGTGATCATATGGGAAAGCCTGTCCCTTTCAAGTTTTATTTTTTACCTCTTTGTTTTGTAAACATTTTTTTTATAAAGGACGTTATGATTTTTTAATATGAACTATTAAAGTGTTTATATTATGAAAAATTAATTATAGAAGTTTTTCTCAGCAAATCAATAAAAATAATTAGCTTGACTAGTTTATCTATGGCAGTGAATATTTACTGCCCCTTTTAGGCAGATTTACAAACTAATTGTAGGTAAAATAATCTCAAGGTAACGGACTTGACATGAAGTGGAAGACAAATTATTTTTTATTGATTTGCTAAATTTATATCTAAGAAATTTCAATTGTTTTTTTATAGTTTAAATAGTAGAAATATTTTTATAGTCATCTTTATCTAATGCATTGCACAAATTAAACTTTAAACATTAATTTATCTTGAATTTTCTTTCTTTTCATGTAAGATAGCATATGTAAGCAAAATTTCAAAATGGGCTAGATATAACATGAAAGGTTAACTGTACAAGTTTCATTTGCCTTGCTATTTCTTTAGAGGTGCAGATGTTCAAAATAGTGAAATCAATAAGAGGAAAAGATTATTGTGTGTACAAACACAAGAACTTCATCATTAATAATTTTTCGTAGACAGTTCTTGACTACATTTGCTAAAGAAGCATTTCAGTCTTATGACAAATTTTACATAGTGCCATTTGCAGTGACAGAAATGTAAATAAATATAAAAGTAAATCATATCTGCATAAAGTTAGCAACAGTAAACACTATAATATTATGATTATTTTGCTGCTACCTCCTGTTGCTAGGAATGTGATGAGTTTCATTATCGTGAGCACCTTTCAAATTGCCATTTAATACCGTATCATCCCTTTCTGAACAGTTCATTCATCTAATAAATAGAGCATTACAATAAAATTGATTCTTTGGGTTTTAGTTATTTTTCACTTTGTTTTAACATATTATTGCACATATTAAGTAAGATAATTTATATAAATAAATAGAATAAATATAGCAACTGGTTAGAAATAAATTTTATGCAAAATGTCTATTTTTTAAATTGTTTTTAAGAAATAGATGAAAATTATAGTATTTGAATCATGATTCTCTTTAATATGCTGTAGACTTTTTTTATACAGTAATGTTTACAGAACTGTTATGAATATCAATTCAATATCATATGCCCTGAATATTTTAGGTTTATTGTAATGATTCATTATTGTATGGACTGGGCTACAAACCAGTCATATGATTGTAATTTTTTTTTTTTTTTTCAAAATTATACTTTTATTTTTGATTTCTAGTATTAATATATCTAAAATATCTCTAATTTCTGCTGTTTTCTAACATATTAGGCAATATTAATTTAGATGTGGCAAACAAATAATTTATATTCTAAACAGGCTACCTAAATTTAGAATGCTGATGGAAAATACTATAGATATATTCTAACATACATCTAAACTGTACTGCCTTTTCATGGATGAAGCTGTGCAGGATGAAAATTTTTGTAATCAACTTGTATTTATGCCTATATTGAACACATAAAAGGATTCTGCAAAAGTAAACATCTTTTGTACAGTACCTTTATCATAGGTTTATGGAGCATTCTTTTTTGCCAAAAAATCTGTTGTTATTACATACCTCGATATGTTGGAAATTTGGCTTTTCTCCTAGTTAAAGGAAGATATACAAAATTTCATTTTTTAAAAAGATGGTGCACTACCCCATTGGCATTTGGAGGTTCATAAATTTCTAAACAGAGAACTGCCACACCATTGGATTGGTTGCAGTGCAGCCTATGATTTGGTTCTACACAGCTACCCTCCTAAGTCACCTGACTGAACCCATGTTACTTCTTCCTTTGGCGATATATCAAAGATCATATGTTCATACCATCTTTGCCTACAAGTTTGCCTGAATTTAAATGATGCATTTGTGATACTTTACAAACAGTTAATATTGAAATATTTGCCTGTTTGGCAAGAAATGGTATATCACATTGATATTATACAGGTGATTAAAGGAAGTCATAACAAACTCTTGTGGAAAACAATTTAACATTTTTTCTTTACAATGACATAAATTTTCTGTTTGTAATTATAGAAAATATTAAATATTGTAAACAGATAATTCTTTCCTGATAATCTTGTATTTCTAGCAATGTGTCTAAAATTAAATGTGCAGTTTTGTTTAAATGTGCTTGTTTAATGTTCTAATTGTTTTATGCAGTATACAACAAAAATGAAGAGTCACTATATGTGCATCATGATATAGTGCTTCCCTCATACCCACTGGCATTAGAATGGTTAAATTTTGATCCTTCAGAAGATAAAACTGGTAATTTTATTTCTACATATAATTAATTTTGTATATATATATCCTTAACATTAAAAAAGTGGTATATTAAATATTTTATATGTATGTTCAAAGAGTTAGAAAAATTATTAATGAATATGCACTCATCAAAATATATAAAGTCGACATTTCTTTGATATTGAATTCTCAAAATGTGTTCAGCCTTGTTCTCTCACCTTATCAATTCTAAATTACATATGGCTATGAATAGTTCTTTCTAACAAATGTAAGTACAAAGAAGTTCTGAAGGAATCAAAAACTCCATTACCTACCAGTGACTTTAATGGATAAGACATGCTAAACATCATTAATTTGATCCAGTTTCAAATCCTGGCAAACAAGCCTGCTTCGTGCATGTTCTGATTATCCCAATATTATAGATATAAACTAGTTTCAAATAGGAAATCATCTACAAAGACTTCCTTTGCATTAGATAGATAGCCCTTTCATTCTTGCCATGTTCAGCTAAATTTGCAAGAAAAATCCCCTTCAGTATATGTCTTAGTTCTGAAGCTTTTAAAAACTGTACATATCATCTTATGAGAGTTTTTGAAAAGTAGTAGTGATATTTATCCCTATTTATTGGCACTATTATTTAAGTTAAAAATTGAATTATAATTTCCATATTATAATTTGAAGTAAAATCAATTATGTCTAGCAAATTATATCTAAAGCAGTAATGAAGCACAAAAATTTTCCCTGTGATGAATTACATTTTGTAATCAATACTTTATATAAGGATAAAAATAAAAAAGGGTTTCCCTGCTTTAAAACACTCTAAGAATTCAAGCAATATTCATTAATTTGTTAACTATAATTTTAAAAAATATTTGAATATTTGCTGTAGGAAGGCACTGCTTTAATTAAATGACTAAGAGGCCAAAAAATGCAAGATCCCTGTTTTTAATCCCTGAAATCTTTCTTTTCTCGTAAATATATTATAGGTGAAGTAATTGAAAAGGACTAATTCTTCCTTAAGTAGTATGTAATAGTTCCTAAACATTTTAAGTCTGTATTTTTGAAATAGTATATCAGTATTAGAATTTTTAATATTTTCTAGCATGCATAAATGTATCTTTTGCATATGTTAAAAGCTTCTGTCAAGTAAAGTTTTTTTTAAAAAAAATTGTGTTGATTTGTGTCATAAAAATTCAAGATATTATTTGTATTGACTTGTTTTTCATTATGTAAAACTTTTGGTTCAAATTTTAGGTAATTATTTAGCTGTGGGTGATATGACACCCGTAATCAAAATCTGGGATTTAGATGTTATTGACATATTAGAACCAGACTTTTCACTTGGGAAGATCTCAAAAAAGAAGTCCAAAGTAAATTATTTAAATATTTATTCAAATATTTTTTATTAATGCAGTGTTTTGGTTCATTAAAGATATTTTTTCTTGCCATTATTTTCAGCTACTGATCAAATACTCCTTTTGTATAAAATTAATAATAATAATAATAAATAAATAAATTGATGCATATTCTATTATACCTAAAGCAAATTTAAATAAATGAAATGTATATGAAAGTAGCAGTAAGATTCCCAAAGTGATAGTAAAAATTTAAAAATAAGCTATTTAGTGTAAGATTCTATGTTGGAGCCAATTTTATATTATTTTTATGTTTCATGCATTGACATCTTACAGTATGTTGCTGATTAGCTGAAAGTCTGAAAATAAATTGAAAATGTATGGCCTGATATTAGTCTGATAACTGAGTCTCTGGGTCTTCTAAAAGATGTATATTTGCTTTGCACTCTTTTTTTTAATAAATATATTCAATAAGTGAATTTGGTATTTTCTGATTATTTGCACTCATGGATTCAACATTACGTAGAATTCCCTGATTTTGGTGTATTTTTGAGTACAGACATGATAATAGATAATTCATGCATACATATACCATGTATGTGTTTGTGAGTACATGCATATTTACATGCCTTATATTTAATGGCCATTTCACTAAACAGTATCCACCAGCTGTAAAAATCCAAATATTGACTGCATATATTTTTATCTTTTCTGATAAAAATTTCTTGTTTCTTACGAAATTCTTTTCATGATTATTTATGAATAGAACAATGCTTATGAGCTGTAAAAATAGGCAAACAAATGTTCTTTGCCATTTCACAAATTTGGCAATGGACTGGAAACTTTTCATTAAGGTTTGGTTAATCAAAAAGTACCGTAAATTTTGTATTTGTGTATCATTGAGTTTAAACACATGCTTTTCAGCAAATCTGAAGAAATCAGATGACAAATATCTGTAAATTTTATATTAGTGTTAAAAATCAAATAGTATGCTTTATTAAACTGCTGGTGTTTTGATTGGATAATTATACTGTACTCTTGATCCTTTTATTAAAATTTGATAAATTAGAGAGTATTTAAGTTTAATAAATAATATATTTTAATATCTGTGTGCTTGCTAACCTTTCATCAATAATTTCATGGCTGCATTTGTAAATTTACTAATATTGAAATTTAAAAATATTATAAACAGTTAATCACAATCAATTCCCCTTCCCACCTATGTTAATTTTATTTTTGGAAATGAAGTAACCACAAAATAGATATTACATCAGGGTATCCTAAAAACTAATATTTAACTTAAGCCAGTAATTTTGAATCATATATAAAGTACTGTGTTTTGATTAAGAAATAATTTTACTTGATATGAATTTTCATTATATTTTTTACTTTCCTTTTTCTGTAGGTTAGCATGAATTCCCATTCTGATGCTGTGCTAAGTCTTAGCTGGAATAAGCTTGTTAGGTATAGTTCAACAATATTTAACAATTTTTTTATTTATCGTCTGAAGAATTATGAATGAATTTATCAATCATCATTTTTATTTATCATATTTTGATTATATTTCATATTTTAAACTGTTTTGTGTACATAGCTATAAATATTAATAACATGTTGATGTTATTTGAAAGTTTTCCTAACTCTACTTGAATAGCTTGTATCAACAACTTCTGTCACACACAGAATTATATTTTGTTTTTTATATAATAAAAGTAAAAACTAAAATGTCTGTTTTTAATTCAATTATGTTTTAATTTTATGTTCTCTAGTTAAGCCAAAAAAATATTGTATTACATAATTTCTCTGTGTTATTAATAACGATGTCTATCTTATTATTAATTTTGTATCTTATTTCTCTTCTTTCAGAACTATTTTAGCTAGTGGTTCAGCTGATTCTACCATAATTTTGTGGGATCTTCAAGAAGGAAAAGTTTTGAATCGACTTGAATATCATACTAATAAAGTAAATGATTTTTCAAAGACATTTTGTATTACTTGTTTTTTAATAAATAGAAAGTAGGGCATCATAATATATTTATTAAAATTTAATATTATTTAACGGAATTTCATATGTGTGTTAGCTCCTTACCTGTGTGTGTTAACCTCTTCCCTACCCGTTTTTGAGAAAAATTTGTCAGAAATGGAAAATGTTTTTTTATTCTTTCACTCCCAATAAGCTTTACAGCTAATTCCACCCAACTTTCAAATAAATGTGGAACAAGTATTGCCATTTATTGAATAAATGGTGAATTGCATTGCATTAACCATTTGATAAATGAAAAAGAACTCATTCTGGGTTTCACAGAATAGAAATGCAGAATTTTTTTTCCCTGCCTATAATTCAGTTTTGAGCAATTGAGTTATCTGGACTAGATTCAGGTGATGCTGGTAGGGGGTTAAATATCCTTTTTGGATTCATGCATGTTTCTTTTAAGTGTGCACATGTGTGTCAAAACATTGTAACCACTGGAGACTTAAGTGGTAAGTAAGACATAAATGATCGTAGTCGTATAATTGTGCCACAAAAAACTGCTTCAGTATCTTCATCAAATCTGCTGTATGACATGTTGCACCATTTTCTTATATTATAATAATTCGGATCTGTATGATGCTTAGCTGTGCTTGTTGCCATGTTATTGGGCCCATGTTCAAATCACTAAGAAGACATTAATGTTGTAACTAACCATCCTTCTTCTGATGGGTATTTTGTCCTATAGAAAGAGAGTTATGGAATAAAATGTGATAAAGAAGTAATAATAAATAAATAAGTATAATGAATAATGTTAATAAATGGACTTATTTAGCCACTTAATAGTTTCATTTTTCCCCAAATTCTATCTGAAAATTGTCACATTTTTATTGCATTTTTTGTTTACTTTACATTTTTAAGTAGAGAAATATAATTAAAATTAATATTTCTAAGTTTTTGAGCATTTCAAACCACTTTTTGGTGGTGATGGGGGGGGGGGGAAGATAATATTTTTGCTGTTAAGTTGTCTTTTTTACTGCATGTACATGTAACAGAAAAGTTATATTTACAGTTGTATAAAAAAAAGTATAGTTATTTGGTTTACTGGAAAGTACTGTATGTTTTTGGAAAAAACAAAATACAGATTTTTTTTACCGTCAATAAACTTTATTAAGTAATATAATTGCCATTATTATTAATGACTTCTTGCCAGCATGAGGGCAATTTGTATATTCCATTTTTAAAAAATGTTGTATCTTTTGATGCGAAAAATTGGGCCAGTGCTTGTTTGATATCTTCTTCATTTTTGAATTTTTTGCCCTTCAAAAAGTTTTGTAAGGGCAAAAACGGGTGACAGTCGAAGAGTGCTAAGCCTAGCGAATATGGTGGATGCAACAGAATTTCTCAGCCTAGTCCTGCAGATTTTTTACTATCCCCCAAAGCAGCATGTGGCCTAGCATTATCATAATGCAGTATGATGTCCTTCCTATTGAACATCACCAACCTCTTTTCTTGGACTGCTGGCTTTAAATTATCCAGTTACTGACAATCTCTGAATTGAGCTTTTCTTTCAGTTTTAAAATGTATTTGCCCTTGAATGTCCCACCATATACACAACATTCTCTTATTCAGAGTCAGATTTGTTTTATAGGTGGAAAGGCTAGGTTTTCCAAAGGTTCACAATATGCCCTTTTCCTTACAATGTTTTTGTAGGTTATCCACTTTTCATCCCCAGTTATCATCCGGTTTAAGAAGGGGTCAATTTTGTTCCAAGCAAGCAGAGATGTATATATGACGACTCAATCATCCAAATTCTTCTGACTTAATTCATGTGGCACCCACCTTGAATATTTCCACACCAATCCTATCTTCTGAATATGGTCTGGAATGGTTTGCTGAGCTGAATTAAGCCTTTCTGTGATCTCCGATGTTGTCAGAAAAGGATCTTGTTCCAACATGGTCTTAACAACATCGCCGTCGATCAAAGATGGTCTCCCAGAACGTGGCTTATCAAAAAGCTTGAAATCGCCTGTTTTAAATTTTTTGAACCATCATTTGCATGTCCTATCAAAACACTATCACTTCACACTTGAGATTAACGTGAATCAACTTTGTTTTAGTTAATTTGCTATATCAGTATGTATACATTAAGCGATAAAAATAGAGGGCCGAATATGCGCTAAACAAACATGTGCTTACATGTTGAAAATTGTTGTCATAGAAACAGATAGAACTTTCCAGTAGACCGAATACTTTACAATTATGTTTGATTGCAGTTACTACAATTACATTTGTTTATCTTTTTTTTTTTTTTTTTTTTTTTTTTTTTTTTTTTTTTTTTAAGACCGCAGATACATTTTAAAACATGGTGCAAGGCACAATCCAGTCAAAAATATTGAGTCTCTTTTCTAATTCTTTTGCTGTTGTCATTTTTCTTCAGTGAAAACACATAACACCGTCTTACATATGTATGGTTCCCCCCCTCTTCATAGGTAAAATCACCTCTAAAATTGCTAGTCTTAGTGGAGTTAGTAAATGTCCAGGAAGACCTTCCCTTTATCTTAGAGAGAGAAAAGGGGTCTTTAAATGAAAAGGTACAAAACATCTTAAGAAATAAACCGATCATGGCATTCACATGTTATCAGATATCTGGCTGTAGAAGGGATTATGAACGTTTGAGTGATGACTCAAGACCAGGCCAGGCAAGCATGGTAATCACGGACAAACATGTCAACAACCTGATGAGAAATTATCAACATTTCATGTGCACTGTGGTTTCCGAAGAAGCTCAGCAAACTGCAAAAGCAAGTGCAGCTAGTATTGCAACACCTGTTCCCTCAGCAGCTGTGCCTTCATCAGGCAAGGTGATGCTCACCATCGTTTTTGACGTCTGAGGTCTGATACTCATTAAATTCCTTCACAAAAAAATGATATGTACTGTGATATTATTGTGATTACTTATGATGATATGTACTGTGAGACGCTGTGTAACATATGCAAGTCCATCAAGAGCAAACAGTCTGTGCTGCTGATGGTGGGATTGATTTCATACCATGATAAAGCACATCCACACATCTCCAAGGTCACACAAAGTGTAATGGCCAAGTTCAAGTGGGAACAGCTTGACCATATGCCCATACATGACACTTTGTGGTTTCCATGTGTTTGGTCCACTAAAAACAGATCTGAAAGGGAAGTGCTTCAAACTCAGACAACAAACTGAAGGGCACAGCTTCTGTCACAGACACAGGGAATCCTTCAGCTTATGAAACTGTGGAATACTTGGGCTCGCGCTTGTGGTGACTACTGTGAAAAAGACTTCAGTCATATGCATAGTGTCATTTCATACTTTTTAATTTAAACACCACTTTTATATATATAATATTTGCAGTAGATTGGCATTGGAAATGATGAAGCTTAGCAATCTGGTCACATCAGAGTTCGGGTGCGGTCGTTGCGGAGTGGGAAGGCAGCTGAATTGAAGACACAGAAAAATTTTAATTTTAAAACTCCATAGCTTTATTCACTTAAAATAGCAGATCATTATTCTTTCAGATTCTCTAAAAACAACATATCCAATAATGATTTAAATTAAGATAAGGTTAAATTTAAGCTTTTGACGTCTTAACTATTCTCACAAAGAAGGCAGACAGGAAGAGCATCAGCAAAAGGATTTGACAGTGGCAGGTGGAGAAAAGCAATGTGACGAAAAATGGCGTGAACTCTCCATTTATAGCAGAGATTACATAACATGCTAAAATGTTCTCGAAAGCACTGGTCTGGGGGGGGGAGATCCTGAAATTGCGGAAAGTTAATTACAGGTTGCCTGTTCACTTAGAGCAAAGCCATCATATTTTTTATATTTTACATGTGTATATATATATACATATATATATATGTGTGTGTGTGTTTAAGGTAAAAATATGTCAAGTGAGCTTCTGATTTTAATATGCAAAAATCTCTTTTATCCTTCATTGTAATTTGGGCACTTCCTTTTTTTTTGTCCTAAAAATAGTAACTTTTTCTAATATATTAATTTGAACTGCATTTCAGAGTTAATGTGTATCATATGAACTTATACAGTGCTGTATTGAAATATCTTTTATCCAATCACCGTACTCAACTTTCAGTTGAAACGCAAAATTTACTCTTCTCTTCCATATTTTCTTCTGAATGTGTCACATTTGGCTCTCTGCTTTGCAGCTGCAAAATTGCTGTTGCTGTCTTAAAAGTTATTTTTCACAAGTTTATTAGTACCACTGTAAAAATTCTTTAAGAACAAATCTTATAATGTCCATTTTATTCTTGCGTTAATGAAAACGTGTGTCAACCATGAATAAAAAGGAAACACTTGAATTTGCCCATGTCTGCAAGTTTCTTCTGTTTTATGCATCTGTCTATAATAAACCATCTCCAAGTTATTGTGTATGTAATATATATATATATATATATATATATATATATATTTCTGACTTGGGGCTGATGAGAAGGTTGTGCTTAATTTCAGTTATTGATTATAGTAAAGCTGTTAGTCGCATCATTGTTAATCATCTTTAGATGCAAGGAAAATGACATCTGCACCTTATTCACAAATTTGATTTTGATTGCTATCATTTCCAAAATTCAACTTCATGGATGTATGAAGATGTAAACTTGTTAATAAAGTATTGCTGATTAAAATCAGTTTTCTGAAAAAAAATTGCTAAAGATTGATTCTTCATTTATCATATAAAAATTTATTCATTCAAATTAAAGAGATTACATGTTGCCAAGATACAGATGCATAGGTCTTTTAAGGAGTTTAATCAGGAAATTGACTGAAATATTTTATTACGTATTTGTTTAAATAATAATTCAAAATTATATTGATTTAAAAAAGTTTGGATAATATTTAGAAGACACTTTGGATAAAGATTTATCCAAATATTAGCAGTTGTAATGCTTGGCCCTCATAAGTTATTATTAATTATATTTATTTTAATTATCTTGGCTAATATTTGCCACATCCTGAAACTGTCATCCTTTCTCATAATTGAGCACATCTTTTGTTATTTTTCCATTTATTAGTGATATTCATTATAAAGTAAAATCTTGAAAATCATAGTGCTTTTTACCAAAAGTGTAATAAATTGCAAAACATTTTACAAGAAAAATATTGCATTTTTTATTTCTGTTTCACATGCTGAATCATTGTCCTCATTAATTACTGTATCATTCATAGCTTCTCGGCTTATCTCACTGAGGCCTTTAAACTATAGAGCTATTTCATCAAAAAAATAAATTTGTGAAATAAGTAAAGCTGAATTAAGACAAATTTGTCTGTGTTTAAAGTCAAAATCACTCACCGCAGTACTTATCAAAAGGCAAGGAAAACATTAAGTTGCATTGCCAGATGAAGCGCATTTAAATTGCTTTCCTCGTTGATTGTTTTTTCTCAACCAAAGGAAATGCTATTGCCATTGAGTACTAGTTTGAATTAATGTGAAAGTATATATTGGCTTGATGGGAAATAAGCAAGTGGTTTAAGTAGCAAAACATTTATAATTTATCCTTTGTATTATTCGTAGCAACTGAAAGATATGGCTGCATGAGTTTTTCATATCTTTCATCATACATAATTTAAATATAGGCCAGTGTTCCTTAGATGGTCTTTATGAAGGCATCCCTGTTGAGAACCAGATAGCTCTAGTGCATTGCTGTTATCAAATACTCTTCTCCAAACTAATATGAATCTTGAGCTTAAAGTAATTTTTATTTTAAAATTTAAAAAAAAAAAAAAAAAGTTCTTATCATGGAATCATAAAACAAATAATAATAATGTACAGAATAAAATTATTGTACAGTAAATAATTGGATTTTAGTGTTTTATTATTGTTATTATTACTACATTTGAATTTTTCACCTGAGTTTGCTGATAAATTTATTATGAAGACAATTGTCAATTAAATGTTATTCTCAGTTTTTAATTCTGTTGTTAATAGTTCCTCCCATGTAACAGTAATTAAAGCATTTACAATAAATTTTAATGTTAATCATTATTTTCCTTCCAATTTTCTTTAACCTAGGTACAATCCATACAGTGGCATCCATTTGAAAGTCCTTTTCTCCTGTCTGGCTGTACAAATGGGTAAGAAAATATTAGTTGATCTTTGACAGTTTTAAATTTTAAAATATGTTTAACTAGTTCACATACTCAGCTTTGTTGTGTTTTAAAACAGAAAAGAAATTATGTAATAGAAAGGTGTATTTTGCTATCCACTTGGAGCAAAATAAATTGCATTCTCAAAATTCATGAGTTGTTTGTAAATAATAATAAAATTCCTTGTATGTTTGTTAGTGAAAATCAGCTTTCTGTTTTGTTTCATTTCACTGCTTTTTCTCACTACAAAGAAAATATTAAAGATACACAACCTATTTAATTTCATAAAAGATAATATTGTTTAAGTTCAACAGGTTGTATACATTTACAAACTTTTGTTTCGCAGTTAATATAACAAATATAATGTAGAATATATAATCATTGTAGTATCTGTTATGTGTCTTTTTTTTTATTTATATTTTTCTTTACATAAGAAGTATTGAAAGTCTGTAGATTATTATAAACAGAAAACACCATCATAATTTCATTCTATAATTATTTCTACTGTTCTCTTGACTAAATAGTACTTAAATAATAAATATTTTGTAATAATGTTTTTAAATTTAAGATCTATTTTATTTTAAATTTGTTCATTACAATTTCATGAAATAGTTCTTTTGTGCTGCAGCTTTGCAAGAAATCATCTACATCGTATAATGTGTAACATGCTGAGCTTTGTCAACATATTTTCAAAGGGAAATAGTATTGCTTGACTTTTTATTTGATTGGAAGTCATGAGTTGCATCTATTTTATATGTGGAGTTCTTTAAATGATTATTAGGGCATCTTTTTGCCAAAGAAAACATATTTTTTCAAATATAATTTGCTTTTCATTTAACTTCATGATAAGATGAAATTATCAGAAAGTCTTATAAAAAAGTAATTACGTAGTGAATTCTTAACCCTCCTCTGAAATATGGTGAAGATGAGACTTTTATCTGGGGGGGGGAATATATTTTTGGATGAAAACATTAGTTTCAAATGAGGATAATTTTAATATTCTCCAATTTTGATATTCTGAATTCTAATTTATATTCTTAATTTAGAAGCAACTTTGTGTTTATGTCAATATATCTATAAACAGAAAGTAAGAAATTTAGAATCAAATACACAAAGCCATGAAAGAAGTGAAATTCAGTACCAATAAAATCCAAAGTTTCCGACAAATACCATATTTTCTGGCATATAATGCACACCGGTGTATAATGTGCATCTAGAATTTCAAGGTACATTTTTTTTTATTTTTAGGTATATTTTTCACGATGAAATCTGAAAGATATGTGTGCAGTGCTTTTTTGAGATCACTTATTCAAAGTCTTGTCCTAGCTGTTGGAACAACGGTATATCAAATTGACAAGCGATAAGGGGAAAATATGTGTTGAGAGTGAATTGTGTTCAATGCAGCTGTCCAAAGCAATGCTGTTGTAAGGTTTCATGAAAAGGGGATATAATTTGAAATAAGAATGCCTTTCCAACCTGAATGAATTCATGGAATTAGGAGTTAGATGTTTTCTCTTTCTGTAGTCATTTAAAGCCATGATTATTGAAGCAAAAATCAAAAACTTTAGTAAATCAAATATGCTTTAGTTGAAATACAGTTGATCTAGTAAATTTGGCTCCCATGAAACTAAACGAATGCGCAAAGCCATTCATTTTGCTAAAGAACAGGGAAATCGTGCTGCAGCAAGGATATTTGGTGTTGGTGAAAGATGGAATGGATGACTATAAGTATTTATTTGTGGATCAGAATAACAATGATGGTGAAGATGAACTAGAATTCGATGATGTGCCGAAAGATATAACGGAACCTGTCGTGTTATCAAATAATGAAAAGTTTTAAGTTTTTAAGGTATTTCATTTCTTTTAAATAAACAGTATTTAAGTACATATAGAATGCTAATTTTTTTATGCTCATTTCTTATTTTTAAATCAATCATTTTTATACCCGGCGTATGGTATGCACCGTATATTTCAATCTTATTTTTTGTATTGAAAGTGCGTGTTATATGCTGGAATATATGGCATGTAAAAAAATTACTAACCAGTTGTCATCAAACTAGAAGATTTCCTGAAAACTACAGGATGTTCAAATCAAATGTACCTATATACGTATGCATCCTCAGTTTTCGGATCTTGATACAGCTAATTCAGAAGCAGCCTGCCTGATCAACTGACGAGGGCTCCGATCGAAAGCTTGTCAAATATCTTCCACACGTGAATCAGAATGTGAACACTGATCACCTCCGATTCTTTTCCGTACACTTCCTGTTTCGAGAAATGTTTTGTGCCACTTTTTTTATGCTCTTAGCCTGGGGTGGATATTTTTTTTTTTATATATATATATATAGATTGTTCGAAACTTTCTTTGCCACTTTTACTACAGATTTGTGTTTTGCATACCAGAGAACAATTTGTGCCTTCTTTTGTGGTGATGGAATTTTTCTGTTTGTCGGCTCAGCAAAAGCGCAGATGTATCAGACGCAAAAAAAAATATTCTCTCCAAAATCTACGAATTCAGCTCCCACATGTGGCCAATATTGCCCTCTTAGCGCTAAAACTTTGTTTATAATCGACTGTTCAAAATAGGTACGTTTAATTCGGACACCCTGTACAGATATGTCAAACACAAAATATATAGGAAGAGGAATGCAATCTAAATATGATTCAATGTTATCAAGAGGAGGTAAATGGCTACTGTTATATATGGGTATACATATAAGGGCAAATGTATGTGTATATATTATATTTGCAAAATTAATAAATAATTTATTAATTTTGTAAATTGCTTACTAATTACTTTTCATTTAACTGATGTTTCTTTCCCCCTAGTTTCCTGTTCTTTTTCATTTTAAATTTTTGGTGTCACACCAGAACAGCCTATATCTTGCAACTATTAAATTAAACTTTTTTAAATTACTTTGTTGCACTTTTAAAACACTTTAATGTCCTTAATTTTAACTTTTTTTTTTTTTTTTTTTTTTTTTTCCATTTTCTGCAATTTTTCATGTATTCAGTTTTTAGACTCATGGGTGTAATTCAGAAGCATGGCTCTGTTGAAAAGTTTTTTTTAAATATAATATATATATTTTATATTTGTAAAAAAAAATTATTATTTTTGTTTTGAAATGTTTATTTTTTTGTTTTTGTGTATTTTCATTTTAGAAAGCAGTCTACCTTTCATAATTTAATTTTGGTTTAATTTTTAGTTGTTTATTATTATATTTTTTAAATGTTTATTTTATTTAACTAGGCTTATAAAAATATATGACTGCCGATCCCCAGATACTGAGTTTAAATCATGGGAAGTTGATGGTGAAGTTGAGAAAGTTGCCTGGAATTTATTTGATTCATTTAAATTCTTCGTAAGTTAATATTATTTTCTTATAAAATTTCTAATTCAACTGAAAATTAGCAAACTCTTTCAACCTCAAAAATTAAAATCATTGGAAAAATATTTTATAGTTTTGCATAATTTTTTTTTCAGTGTTATAGTAAGAAAATTGTGACATTCTTTTCTTTATTCTAGTGTTCAACAGATAAAGGCTGTGTGTACAGAATGGATATGAGAAAGCCTGACACTGAACTCTGCGTTAAAGCACACAATGAAGCTGTCACTGGTAATTTCCAGCAATACTAAAATTGCTTTGCAAGAGTTTAATAAATTGCTGGAGATAATATTGATAGATTATAACTGAAGTGTATGTTTATGTGTTCACAAAAGTACTAATATTAATTTCCACTGAATTATGCATCAAAGTGAAAAATCATAGTATCACTTGAAATCATGTTTCAGTGGTCAGTTAGATAGTTAATAAATATTTTTGTATGTAGATAAATTTTTCCTTCCTTTAAAGTTTTACTTTTATCTGTTTGGTTTTTATTTTTTAGTGTAAAGTAATATTTTTTATCATTACGTGTTCTAAGATGAACATTTAATGGCATTTGGGAACAATATTTTTCTGAATTTGTGTCTTATTCGATGGCAAAAATTCATAGTGTACAATTCCTTTGTACTTCCACCATACACAAAACATTGCTTTTTTGGAATACAGCCTCTTTTATGATGTTACTAAAGGAGGCTTACCTGTGAACTTTCTCTTGTAGCATTATGGTATAGTATCTGCTTCTGATCTCTAGTAATGAGTAGTCTCAAGAAAAGGAGTTTCTTTATTTCATTTCAGTAAAGAGTTACTGAAATTTGAGCAAGCATATTTTGCTCTGCTGAAGTATGGGATACCCATTACATTGTTGCATACAGTCATCTTCAAATGATGAGATGTACTTTTTGGAATAATCAGTCTGTCTGATATTTCCTGAACTGTATAAAGTGGATTTTCAAGGATGTTTTCTTTTAATAGATCCTTGTTTGCAAAGGATGATTGTCCAGAGCTGCCATCATCTTCAAGGTTGAAATTTCCATATTTAATCTTCTCCAGCCACCTCTGAGCTGTGTCTTCAGAAACAGCATTTTGTCCATATATATCACAAATTTTGCAAGCAGTCCGACTAACATAGCACTGCACTGAAATAAAATTTATGCCACAATACATGCTAGAATTATGCAGTGTGCACTGAAAAGACCATATTCACTTATCCATCTTAATCTAGATCACTCATCAGCAGTAGCAACAACCGCATCACTTGAAAACTCCAAAGTATGTGTTCTGCAGTGTTGTTAGCTCTTGTCCAGTCATTGTTCAAAACTTAAACAAAGGATTTCAGCTCTTATAAATATCCCTTTGCTGAAATGCATTGTCACTTTTTTAAGTCTCTCTTGCCTGCTAGTGCATGTCTCAATGCTTTGCTGTATCATCTACTATCTCAAAATGTATTAAGTTGTAAAATTTTGTGATGCTTGTAACACCCATAATCTCTACATATAATAAAAGAAAGAGTCTGTCTCTGTGTGTGTCTTTCATTTGTGCTGCACGTAAGCTAATAGACCCAGGGCTGCGAAATTTGGTTCATAGGTACATCTAGACAAGAGCCAGTGCACCTCGAAGCAATTTTTTCAAAATTCAAATCAGATTTTTTTTAAATCTTTTTTGATGAAATCACATCATTTTGAATAGTTTCATTATTTTAGAAATGAAGTTTTGGCTACAGTTTTTCATTCAATGCTTTGTATACTGGACTGCTGACTGTTGAAAATATGAGATAAAATATTTATTGGTTATTTTACTGTTTATAAGTGTTGAGAATCGAGCATTTAATTGATATTATGTGCAGTTTCAGTGGCTTTATTGTTTTATTATGTTTTATGCATCTGGCATCACTATTATTTTTGTCATTCTAAAAGTTGTCATGTAAACAATAAGACATACATAAGTTCTCTTTACTTTTTTGTTAATAAAGTCCAAAAATTCAATTAGCCATCACTATGTTTGTTAAATTCATAACAATAAGATACTGAAAAGTTTAGCAAGATTTTTTTTTTAAATGCAGCGGGAAGTTAGTTGATTTATTTATTAGGATAATTAATATTTATATTAAGGGATGTTGCTGATTTCATGCTGCTTATCTTCTTTGGATTTTTTAGAATGCACATCGCAATCTTCTTATTCTGACGCTCATGTGTCTCGCAAGGCACAACAGAAAGAATTTCCTTTTCTCTCTCTCTCTCTCTCTCTCTTTATTAGCTAATGGCAAAGAGGTTTGTATATTTTGAATTATGTCATTCACAAAGGACAATTTTGATTCGTTATTGCTTTCTGATGATACTTTCTTTCTTTTAGAAATGTGGTTTTGGCAACAGTTTTTCATTCATTGCTTTGGATACTGGACTGCTGACTGTTTTCTCTTAAAAATATGAGATTTATTGCTTATTTCATTGTAATTTTCTATATTATGTTTCAATTATATATAATTTTAATTGTATAAAAAGTTTTGCTTTTTTTTTTTTAGAAAAGAAAGTTTCTTAACTTCCTTTATACCATTTGAATTCTTAAGATTTTGCAACAGGAAGTTGGTTAATTTATTTCTTAGGATAATTAATATTTTTATTAAGGGAAATTGCTTATTTTTTGTAATTTTTTTAATATGTGATACATTTTTATTGAATTTTTTTCTGATAAAGTTGTTCTGCAGAGAAATTCTATGCAGATTTTAAATTTAATGTTTGGTGTTCCCTTTAGGCATTTTTACTGTACATTTAAAAGCCAGATGAAGGCTGGCCTTATAGTGGCTAGTGATGTATAAATCAAGAATATAAGCTCTAAGAAATTATTCTTTAAAAATTAAAATTATGTGGTGAATATCCAGCTACTTTTGGTCTTCATATTCCATCTATCTGTTACATATCCTATGTGTATGCCAGCAACATCTGTAAACACATCAGCCATGACTAAAAATAATTGGTGCGTTTTCTCTTCAAGTCATCTCTGACAAAAATATCATTATATTTTAAACATTTTAAATACTTGGCAATAAATTTTAATTTGGCACAAGTTTAAATGTGATAATAACATTGAATCCAGAAATTTAATTTAACAGTATCACCTGTTTTACTCATTTTTGTCTTCGTTTATCAGTGAAATTGGACTGATTGATTTTTGCCTGTGCAGTATATTGAATAATTTAATTTAACAATAAATGTATTTTCAAAACTAAAACTACATTAAAAAAATTTAAACTGTTATTCTTAGGAACACTGACAGTTGATTACATTTGAAACAAATGCTTATTTACATCTTCTGATATATCATGTGCATCTTACCTTGAGATGCTTTAACAATATCATATTAAAATCAGCAAGATTTTTTTATTATGTGCTGTTTTCACATGAATGAGTTATAATTTTGTATAGTGGCAGAAAGCTAAATGTAATTAAAAGGTAGTTTTCCAGTTAGCACAAAATTCATAAACTTTTTGGAAGGCATTTATTTATTACATTTCTTTTTTCAATATTGTTAAATTTTGAGTTACAGTGTTGTTATTTTGAGTTGGCAGTTTTTGAGTGTCAAGCAAAACTTGATTTTTTACTGCTATAATAAAATTATTAATTGAACTTATATTAACAGGTCTTGATATGAGTCCATTGTACCCTAATACTTTAGTAACAGGAAGTATGGACAAAACAGTTAAACTATGGAACATTGAAAATGAAATGAACCTTATCAAATCTCAGAAACTAAAAGTGGTAAGCTATTCATATCTGTAAATAATTAAGAAACTAAATCCTGTTTTATATTGTGTTCCTCAGACTTTTAATCTAAAATACTCTTTGTTTTTGTTTTCAAATCAGTTAGTGAAATTTATTTATTATATTAGTTTAAAAGTTTCTTATATTTTTATGAAATTTCTGGATTGCTTTTATCATTCCAGAGTTATCACTCCTATCATATGCAACAGAACTTCGATAAACTTAATTTGAAATTAATCTGCATGTTCCTTGAAAAGTTTATTTTTCAGTTAAATGAAATTTTTTTTCCATTCTCTTCAGTTCAACAGTTAAGTCTGATAGTGGATGGGATTTGAATTTGTTCTAGATACTAATTGAGAAGTCAAACAACAATTGTTCTAGATAATCGATATTTATAATGCTTCAATTATGACAGACCATTTTGCACTTAAAAAGAGGAGATTTTCATTTTCGTCTTAATTTACAATTTCGTAGAATAAACAGCATTAAAAAAAAAGGATCAGTCAACTTGAAATTGGTTATATAAATAGGTTGTGAAAATAATTTGTTATTGTTTAGTCATAATTGTGAAATTACTGTTTTAATATTAAATGAATTCACATCATTATCGGCTGTTTGCAAAATTTACTAGAAAATTGCTGGCTACTCAGTTTTGGATCAAGAAGATTAATTTCTTTTTTTAATGGAGAATTATTTATACCAGTTGTAGAAACCACTATTTTATTTCACTATTATTTTTATGTTATTTCAGAGTAAATTAAATAATGAGCATAGAATGTAGCTATTTTGGTTGACATGTACATGATGGAGGATAAAGTCAGTGCAAGTAGATGGTGAAATTTTGCTGATGCTGTTAAACAATTATTAAAATTCACCTGCTTTATAGAAATGTTTATTGATGCATGAGTAGTCAAAGTTTGCTTGATCTAAGTTGTATTTTATCTGGCTATTATCAAGATCTGTCACATGTAGACTATTTATTTAAGAAGTTGCTAGAATTCCTCATGGAGAAAGTATACTGCAAACAAAATCATTTTCAACACACATACATATGTCATAGCCAGAGTTCTTTTGCAGTGGTGTTTGTCACTTGCCTAAACATTAGCAGTTGTTGTAAATGATGAATGTGGAGTAAAAGAATAGGAGAAAACTTATTATTCATTAAACATGAAATAAATTTGCTCTAACAACCCAAAAAATATTTTTTCAGTAACTTAATATGTATGTTAGAAGTCTGCATGTATTTAAAAGCATTTAGACTCCCAAAAATTTAAAAAGATATGTAATGGGATTAAATAGAATTATTTGATCCAGTTATATAGGAAGCTTTTCATATTATTGCATGAGTTAATTATCCTCAATATGTTTCATTTCCTTGAAGCAAATTTCTGTTTTTGTTTATTTTTTTATAAAAAAACTAATAAACTAATTAGCCTTTTATACTTCATTTCTGGAAGTCACATGTAATATTATTTTCCTATATTCGTAACTTTGTTTCTTTTTAGTTTCATTTAAACCTGATTAGCAATAGCTAACTTTGTTACTAAACAGCTTTAGTTAATAAATTGAATTTAGGTTGTTTTCTTAGTAGGAGCTGTGTTTACTTCTAACAGGGTTGTCAAGAAGAAACTGGGAAAAGTCATTGAATTAAAATATTTCAGTCAGAATCTGGAAAAGTTGGGGAATTTCATAGTGCAATCCACCATCCCCCCCCCCAAAAAAAAAAAAAAAAAAAAAACTATTTTCGCGCCAACGTTGGAAGCGATCGCTGTCTTGGCAAATCATGTATCCCGTGAGTTTCATTCCGAAAGCTGGCGTAGAGCTAATTTTTGCAGTGCCAATCAGATTGTCTTTTAGAAAGGCTAAGCAGTTTCCAGCATCTTTGGTTTCCAGTAGCATCCAGAATCCAGAGATTCGCATGCGCATGTGCAGTGCATGTTGAATGAAAGTAAATAAGTAAATCCCCCCTTCCCATTTTCCTATAACTCAAAATCTTTTAAACCTTTTCTTCATTCTTAAATGCCTTATTTGTCATTTTGTATTAAACTAAAAAAAAATAATAATTAGTCATATATGCTAACCATTTAATTATACCTATATTCGTTGAAATACTGTCGATTTTTGTAATTCAGTTTTTAATCCTAAAGTAATTAGCTTTATGTTAATGTTATTCGTATCATTTAATGTGTCTTCTTCCTTTTAAATTTATTTATTATTAGTTAATAATACTTTCAAATTTCAGACAATTTTCTCTGGCATACTTGTGAAACTAATTCTAGCAGTAATATGACATACTATCACGAAATTTAGTGCACATATTTTTTGCTTATGTATGCTGCTAAATAAATATAAAATACTTTAATTTATTTTAAAATATCATTAAATAGATGCCTTTCTTCATTTAGCTGCAAAATGTCTACAGAAAAGATACATTAAAATCCCGATTGGGCAGATTCTAATCTCAATCCTCAGTGGAGAAAAGAACTCCTGTTGTAATTATAAAAGCAATGCTTTGGGGATAATATAAAGAAAGTCATATGTAATTGGCAAATTTTTGCATTTTCAAGTGGTACCATAATTAATTTACCCTCAGCACAGCCTATACGGATAGCTTGGAATTTTCTTGAGACAAACCTGGAAAATTCAAGGAATTTCATTCTCCTGTTTGAGTGGCAACCTTTTTCTAAGGAACAATTTTATTTTTAGAAGAGGTACACAAAAGAAAAAAGTATAAAATTGGGAGGCTTTGAAACTTAATTGGTGTCTGCATTTTGACAGGCGAATTCTATCATTAGTACTGTCACAATTATAAAAAATATTTTGCTACTATTTTAGCAACAGACTCTAGGTAGAAAAGCTATATTTTAAAATGTGAAGAAAATAGACTATTAGCCTCAAATAGACATTTGCACATGCTAATTTTTCCACTGTCATGTCATGTGCAGTATTTTGCAATATAATGCCATAATGTTTTTAATTAAATTGTACTCTAATTTTAAAATGTACATTTTTTATCATATCTGTAGCAATAACGACAAAGGTATGTTGATTGTTTGTTTGCCATGTGTTATATCAAAATATTTAAGTTTTAAGTATGATTTCTTTTATAATAATCCTTTAAAGATTTACTGGTAATTATGAAAATTATTTTGTACAATCACAACATTGGAATAAGTCCATAATGAAGTAATGTTCATGTTGAATAATAATTTACTTATATAAATATGTCAACAAATATGTTAATATAAGAAAATATTTTCAGATATAATTATTGCTGAATTAATTTTTTGCATTAAGTTGTTGTTCTTTTTTTTTTAAATCATTTTAAAGGGTTCTATATATACTGCAAGAGTTGCATCTGATTTGAAGCTTACTGTGGCAGTTGGTGGAAACAATGCATCAAATAGTTTAAAAATAATTGATTTTGCACAAGATTCTGAAGGTTAGTGAATTTTATTACTATTTAGTTGTATTGTTTAAAATGCTTGAATCCATTTTGTCTGTATTGTAATTCATATAAATGGCCAAAAGAAAGTTTTTTTTTTTTTTTTTTTTTTTTTTTTTTTTTTTTTTTTTTTTTTGACAGCTTTTATAGAAAAGTTTCTTTATTTGAAAGTTTAACACCTTTTAGGTATAAATGTTCAGGCAAGATTTATAGTTTAGAAAATGTTACATTCAATGTCGTATAATGTTTCAAATCTATTATGCCTTAAATATTTACATCCCTTTCTAAAAATCCATAAAATAAACTTCTTTAAAAAATTTAAAAGAGAGTTTGAAAATGCTTTATTATTGAGTATCATTGTAAAAGTTGTTCTTCAAAAAGTTCTTAGTCCGTTAGTCCTTAATTCTAATCGTGAATTGCAAATGAAAAAAAATGAATATACTTTTTTTATTCCTCCAGAACAGGGGTTGCCAATTCTATGCCTGCATGCATCATGGCACTTGCTGATCATTTGACATGTGATCACAGTGAAAGTTTTTTCATTTTTAATGATATAGAAATTGTGTCAAACACAGATACCAGCACAAAGCGACTGATCTCTTTTTTTTCGTCGCACGTTCGGCAACCTAATTTCCCATACCTGAAATTCAAAATGAAATGAACTGGTTCACCTCAAGAGCAAGGTTGTCAAATTGTTCGATAAAAAATTAGTAAATTAATCATTTTTAAAACACCCAGTACAAAAATATAGCTACATCTCTACAAATAGAATATTACAACACTGAGTCTCACCTCTCATGTGGAACTTGAATGCAGCTGGTTTGGGTGATATTTCAGAAGTCTTCTGGAGATCAACAATTCTGAGCTTATGAGATTTTTATTTTTTATAAAGAATTTTTATACTTTGTAGATTTTGTATGTATTACTTAATAATTATTTTACATGAGAATAAAAACAATAATTTTTATACATTAAGTTTTATTTTTTAATTAAATATTTTTTTAATTATGTGTCTGTGTTATTAACTTTATCCAAGTATAAATTCATCTTAAAAATGTAAATTGTGCCCACAGTCGAACAGATGTTGTAGAAAATGCTCTTATGGACAAAAAAGTTGCTACCTCTGCTCTAAAAGGTTGAGCTTGGGACAGAAATATCTGAATATAATATGCATAAAATAATTTAATCTTGTAACAATAAGCATTTCATTCCTTCATTTTTAAAATGTCAGGAGATATATTTTAATCTTTTTTTCCCTGCATATATTTTCCATTCTTTTTTTATTATTATTTTATTTTTCAGTTAAGAAAAACTGCTTTTCATCATAGTAGTTTATGAAAACTGAACTGAACTATAACTGAAACTCTTCTCTCACTGCCCCCCCTTTTTTTTTTTTTTTCTTCTTTGAAAGCAATAGGTGTAATAGGCCAAAAAAATGTTACAGTAATAATAATTCATATGATTTCTTAGTTGTATTTTTTTTTCCAGATATTAAACCATCTATAAAACTGGAACAAACTACAGCCCTTGAAACACAAGCAACTTCAAATGTGGCTACAAGCATTAGAAAAGCTGATGAAATGAATTTTTTTGATATTAAACCACATAAAAAGAAAATAAAGAAAGAAAAAAATTAATAATTTATTTTATTTCCACTTTAAACTACACACTAATGCAATATGATCTGATGGGAACACTTTGCTGGGTAAAGCTTTATATTTTGTCAGCTGCTCATTTGTTGGAAAGGGAACAACAGCAGAAACATGAAAACGACATTTTTCATAAAATATATAGTCTATACACCCAGCAAATCCCTCAGTGTAATTTGTATACTTTGGTGTCCCACAAGCACTGTCCAGTTGCAGCGAGTGAGATAAAGCTAAACCTTTAACTTCCTCTTCGGGATCTAATTTCAGGAAAAATAATATGTATAAGTATTGATTCAAAAATTTCACATGTATCAAAATACATCTTGAAAACATATTTCATGTATATAAGCTATATAAAAGTAAGTTTTCATCTACATGTTTAAGGTTTATATTTTAAACATTAAAAATTATCTTTGTTTGTGAACTTCGATATCATTAGCATACATGTATATATGTATTCATGCTGAAAAAATTGTCTAGTGAAATTTTAAAATATTTCATCTGATGTGAAATCAAGCACATAATAAGGCAAACGTAAGAAAATATGAAAATAAAGATATTCCAGTATCTGTAGGAGAGTTGAGAGATAAAATAGCCAGCCGATTCTCCAGTTTTAAGCAGTTTTATTTAGCTTATTTTCTCTATTTGTTTGCCTCAAATCTCAAAATTAATGTTGAGCAAAATACCTACCCCCTCCCAAATTTTTCAGATACACGTATTTGTGATGGCAATATAATATTCCACATGATTTTATATTATAAAAGTGGTCATAAAAAAACTTCCTTGATATATAAACCCTTAGCGGCCTATCTGCCCAGCCAATCAAAATTAAATTTCAGATATTGTTATTTGAAGGTATGCATTTGAGATTATGATGATTTAAAATGGCAAAGCTCTCACAGTTATGGTTACTGTGAAAATATTTTGAATGGCAACCTTTCTTTTTTTCCTGCACAAATTGATCAATGCATTGAAAAGCATAAGTGCATAAAGCATAAATGGCATCAGTGCATAAAACCATAAATGGCTCTGAAATGATACATGTATGATGATAGTCATCAACATAAAACATTTGCAAAGAAGAGCATTGTAAAGGACCAATGACAACACAAGAAAGGAGAGGACTAAAACATTTATTGAAATTACAAGTTTTCAACGTGCCCACGTTCACACATGATAATGTATTGCAGGTTTGAGATTTTTGACAGCAGTAACAAATGTAACATTACATGAGGATTTTGTACAACTTATGTTTTATGGCATCATTCAGTTCTGGCAAATCTCATGGATAAGATGTGTACATCTTAGATTTCAGACAGCCAGAAATCTATTGAAGTGAGATCGGGAGATTGCTTACAGGCCCACTAGGGGTTTATATATTAAGGAACTTTTTTATGACCACCCGGTATAAATACATGTAGTGTTGAATTCTTTTTACATGTCTTTGTTTAAGTAGTAGTATTAAGTGTAGTATTTGTTTAAGTATTAGTGTAAATTTACACCATCTGAACAATTGGGAAACCTTGTGAGAAACAGAAGCAACATTATACATACTTTATGCTTATTAGAAGGATTATTTTCCTGCATTTAGTGCATTGAAAAGTATAAAATAAAATATATGAAAAGCTTTTTTTAGTTACGTGGTTTTAGTTAATCCACTAAAAAGCAAAAAATGACTTTTAAGCTATCATAGCATTGACACATGGGACTAGAAGTGAAAACACAGAGTGCACATACACAAATTGTATTAATAAAATTTTGGAGAAAAACAACTAGTATATAAATGGCATATGTAAAAATGATTACATTCAATTCATTTAAATTTCTGCTTGATAGTTTTGATTTAACAGCCCTACAATTTTATTTTTAATTCCATATAAACAAGAACATTGAAATGGGTAGTTTTTTTTTCTTTTTTAGCACTATTTTAGTATTTTTTAATGCATCAAAAATAAAAGTTACTTTTTATTTTTAAAACCATGTAGCTTAAAAAGTTTATATATTATTCTTATCAAGTGTTTTGCTTTGAGGTCTTTGCAGTGTTACATATTTTATTACATGATATTCTTTAATTTGTCTGATAACAGCATTTATATTATACATGTACCTGCAACAAAGTCTTAGTTTGCTGAAGTTTACAATGCAGAATATACCTCATTATTCTATTTAATAACTTATTAGCTTATATTAAATTGTTCATGAGACATCATATGTAATCATATGTGAATTTTTTCCATTTTTATTACATATGTAACATACTTGTATAATAATATATGACCATGTTTATGCGATAATCTTGAGTATTTATATTTATATTTATATGTGTGTGTGTATAAGAAATACACTTTGTGCGAACACTGACACATAATAGCATTAATTTTACTGCAGAAAAAGCAAAGTTCACACTAGCAAAAATCTTAGTCTGAATAGTAAAAATTTCCTAAACTTTCTTCTATTCTTATTATGCTAGGATTTACATAAGAAAAGCTTATAGTCAAGAATTACTGTTACCATCTTGGGGAAATTGTGTCTCTACCTGGCATTATACATTTCAAATTGAAATTTACATTTATTAAAACAACGGAATTTGGACAGATGTTCAACACTAATTATTTTAAATTAAAATTACCATTTAAATGGACAGTGTTTTTATGTATTAGGTTTTAAGTAGCATGTTTATTTAAAAAGAGAGAGAGAAATAAAAAGAAAAGAACCTTCAACATCGAAATTGTTTATTGACGCTAACAAGTAACACAGGGTGATTTTGTTACATATCTTCAGAATGTGACTATTCTTTGATTCTAAAATTGCTATAAGACTTACGGTATATCAAAGTTTTTTTGTGGATTTTGGAGTAGGGTTGCTTTGCAGTGGATTTTTATGGGAATTCTAACAAAAAAATAGCACAAAATTATTTAACTTTATAAATATCTGATGTTCACAAAATCTTAGAAAAGGCACTAAAATTCACAAGCAAAAGTAATCATGGAAATTCGCACAATGATAAAATTACTGCCTTCATTATGGCTGTCCACTATATATCAAAATATGTGTTACATATTTAGCACAATAATGTCTTGTGAGCGACAGATATATTAGTTGATATTTTCCTGTTTTTGATTGTAATCAATCCAATTGAATTTGGTATTTTAAATATTACACTTAGATAATTTGCTTTTTTTATTTGTAGAACTACGTTTCCAAATAAAATAATCTTTATGATTTTTTCTTTGATTTATGAGGATGATTGTGTTATCAGATATCATGAAGTGTTATTTAGCCATTATAAGACTGATGAATCAACCTGTTCCATTATTAGATAAGAGATGGATAATTTCATGCATATTTAAGTGAAATTTAAGACCAGTGAGTTAATACTAATCACAAAGTATGAATTCAAAAATTAAAATCAGATTATTTATACATACTACTTTTCCAGTCTAAGCAGTCCTTAGGTAGGTAACCTTTTGTAATAAATTTATACACACCACCTTTAGGAAAGCTGTTGAAATCTCCACTCAAAATTAAAGCTATAGTACATTGAGGATCCTAAAGAAAATAAATAATTTTAGTAAATTATGAAAAATTTAAGGCATGCTACTTCTCATATTTACAAATCACTTAAGCATTTTTTAATATAATAAATAAAATTTAGCTACTTCAATTTGATATTTTTGGAGTAAATTTTCCAAGTAGGAAATGCATGAAGCAGCTTGTATCAACCTTATGTTATTTGACTTTGGATGAAAATACAAATGAGTATTGCCAACTAGGATCTTTTTTCTAGGAGCATCCAAGCTTTCTAAAAGAACAACCTACAATAAAATTTGAAAGAATAAAATATAATCAGTTAAATTATCATTACTTGAAATTGCACAGTATACTACATTTAGATTTTTCTATTTAAATTTTAAATTAGTGAAACACAATTTAGCCATATATCTTTTAATACTTTACAGTTATCTTGTTGTGAATAACTTAGATTTTCAATTCAAGATTCACACAAGTATATATTAATAGTAAAAGAATTTCTGGAAAATTAGAGAGTAATTCTTTACAAGAGCAGTAATTTAATGCAAGTAAAAGTGTGAAACATTACGCACATACATTTATATATGTGTGTGTGCATAGTAATTAGTAAGATATAAAAATATGATGGAAATGTATTAACAAATTAAACTTAATTGGAATAAATTGACAAAACACCTTTAAATTTTCCCAACCATTTCAATACATCGTCATTCCACGATCTATGCACTCTCTTTTGCTGACTAAAGGACATCTTTTGTTCGGCTGCTTCTGTTCATTATTAAAAATAGAATGCATTATAATTAAAATTGTGGAGTACAGATTGTATCTATTGGTGATATACCATGCCATAGAGCTGTGGTTCTCAAAGTTTCGACTAATGCGTATCATCTAAACAAAATTGAAAAAGTTTTAGCACCACATTTTTACAATGATTTTTTTTTTTTTTTAATTTCTCAATAAAAAAATATTTTGCCGTTTTCACAACCTGTTGGCTCTTTGTATTAAATATGCACTCATAAAAAATATTAGATTAAAAATTGGTTACCATTTTAATTATAAAAACTTAAATTATTATACCTTAATTTTAAAATTTAGTTTGAAATTTGGGCCTGTTTAAAAGAGATCAATGTCTTTAGGTCTGGACCGTAAATTAGGATCACTTTTAATTTTGTTCTGTATTTATTATTCAACTATAACATGAAATAAATACTTGTTCACAAAAATAGATTGTGCCAGAAGGCAATAAAAATTTAATAGCTTAAGGCAATAAAAATTTAATAGCTTTATTTTCAGCCAAAAGTTAACGTGTGTTATTTTTTAAATCTTCAGTTAGAGTTCGATCACAGGAAATTTTTATCAATTGTTCTTTTTCTTCATAAGATTTATAATTTAATAGTTAAAACTACTTTGTTTCTTTGCATACCACTGGTTGAGAATCGCTGCCATAGAGTAATCAACAAGTAATAAAGGTATGTTTGGATTATCAAGTGATTTTGCAATTCTTCAAAAATTACATCTAGTCAGATGCCACCAGTTATGCCCAACATTTTCAGTTATTAACAATAACACAGCAACTTCCAGTTATGATTATTAGTGAATGATTCTACTAAAGTCTCTCCTCATGCCAATTTATTATACATATATGTGTATGTATATATCTATATATTTTATTGTTCAGGCATTAAAATTCCTATTCAAATTCAAATTTAGAATAAACAAATAAAATGTAAAGTAATATCTTAATATTGCATTTTATACAAATATATAAAATACATTATATGTATTTAAGTAATAATACATTATAAATGTATTAAAACTGTATTTATAAATTCCCAACTAAATTTATTTCATTTTATACTACAAATAATAACACTGGAAAAGGAATTCACTTTATATACAAAAATTAGCTTCATGGTTAGTAAGATATTTCAGAATTTTATGAATATTTTAACCAATTCATAAATACATCAGCTAATATGAAGCCCTTATTACTATTTAACGGATATGAATATTTATAAGAAGCCAAACATTTTGTAAGCATGTGTAATGCATTTATTTCTTTCTTTAGAAAATTATCGTTTCCATACAACATACATTCTTTCTAATTGCATTAATCAAAGAATATTATTAACAATTGTGAATAACAACCACATGCTTAATTTTGACGTGATTTATAAATTTACCATTATATAAACATCAAAGATTTCAACTGTGTGTCATTTCAATAATATCTATAGCCCTTTCAGTCTAAGCAATATAAGAGGTAACACCCAGCTTTAACTAGAAATGACTCATTTCAAATCAGTCTGAAGAGATTTCCAGAAGTGGCATTTTACTCATTCAAAATGGTGTGTGGTGTATTTAATTTTAGCAAAGCCCACGAGGGCTATCTGCCTAAGGGGAGGGATGCCTTCGTGGAGGACTTTCTAAGGGAAACTGGCTCGTATACACGTTACACATGGGGAAAACCACGAAAACGCCCATGCAGCCAGCCCGTTCACGGGATTCGAACCACGGACCGAACTACTAGTGTTCAGCGACTTTACTGCTCGGCCGCTGGTGGGCACCATTCAAAATGTTGGGCATGATTCAAACAATGAAGGAAAAGGTTCTATCCAGGGTTCTTCTTTAAGCAATGCGAATGATAATACATTTTTGTGAGGTATCTGAATCAGATTATCAATTAAAGACAATAACTTAGTTCCTTAATCTGTTTTCTTGTCCCTTTTCATTTTTCCTTCATTGATGAACCCAGAAACCAGTTCATAACAATTTGCAAATCATAATATTGATATTATTATATCTAAAGTAATATTCTCTTAGAGTAAATCAAGCTGAAGAATATTCTACTTGTGACACTTAAATAAGATTTTTTTCTATCTACATTATCATGCATAAAACATTACCTGCGTGTAAGTTTCTGCTCTAATTTATTTTTTAATGTCTCAGGTTATAAAAAGACAATGATTGTGCAACATGTACGTTCGTACTTTAATCAATATTTTTCCAAGGGTGAATATATTAATTATAATATTAAAATTAATTTTAAATTACACTTTTCATCATAACTAAGATATTTGATAAAATTAACAATCTTTTAAGAAAATGTCAAATGAAATTCTGCAACTGAGTCACTCACTTCTATAAACCAAAATTAAAAATATAAGGTTTATTTTAACCATAACACATAAATTTTATGTTAATTCTTTTTTGTATCTTCTGTTGCTTCCTTCAACCTTTATCATGATGGAAATTATTTTGTATTTAAATAGTGAGAGCAACTGTAATTTTGAGAGAGAACTATAATAATCATCCACTCAATTGGCATAATTAAACATTTTGTTCCTTAGGATAAATTTAAATATGTGTATACTTATATACTAAATGTCATATTAGAATAGATAATTATGAATTGAAACTGCATTTTAATCAAGTAATTCAATTTTATTCAATGTTTTACTCATTCCAAGATTAATTTAATAATAAAGAAAATTTATTAACCAAGAAAACCACACAGAAACAATCTTAATAAACATAACTAATTAAAAAGAAGAAAAAATACTAATCAAGTTATACAATGAATATCAATGTTATACAATAAAATTTCAATGAATAGATTTCTGAGAAACATAATTAAAGCAGCTATGTGCGTGCTTTTGTTGAAAAAAAAGAATTATTATATTTTTCAGCTCCATTTTACTTGCCTCTTCATGCTCGATGGCAAAAAGCGAAGGAAAGTTTAATCATGTTTGTCCAGTCGTATTTTTGGTGTAATTTTTAATGATTTTTATCTTTGAAAACAATTTTTCTACTGCAGCAAACTGGTACAAAGAATCATTAAAAAATGCTACAAAATTGTATGCAATTCACAGAAGTTGCTCTCCAGTGATCTGTGTTTTTTTAACATTTAAGTTGCTAAATTCATGAATGATCAAATTTTTACTAAGGTTATCTTTACACAATTGTAGTGTGTTTATAAATTTTAAAGTGAATTCCGGCAAAAGTACAGGGTTATCCAAATTAAACTTCCCCAACTCAGAGGCCTGTGCAGAGTGTTGTATGGGTCATAATGTGATGAAATTTTAAAATCGGACACTTCAGATCATGTGCTCGAGATTTATTAAACAAAAAAAATTAGTACAAGAAGTTGCCGATAGGTGGCGCTGTAGATCAACAAGACATTCTACAGATGTTCTATATGTGTGCCGTGGTTCTCCACAACTCTTTCCATTCACAAAGTGTGTTCCACAGCGGAACGCAGTAAGTCCACATTAATTCCACGAACATGTCGAATAATTGCGTCTTTCAGATGAGCCAAGGTTGCTGGGTGTTCTCGGTAGACCCGATCCTTTAGAATCCCCATAACCAAAGTCGCATGGCGTGAGATCAGGCGAGCGGGGAGGCCAAGCTGTAGGGAAACACGGCTGATCACACGTGCATCGTAAAGTTGCCCGTAACACCTGTTGAACGCCACGAAGAATATGGGGAGGTGCACCGTCCTGCATAAATATCGTGTCCTGGAGGCGGCCACGTTTGTTGCAGTTCAGGATCACAACGTTGTCAACATGTCTTGTGACAGAGCAGGTTCTGAACCCTGTTGGGTCACCTCTTCAAAAACTAAGGCCCAATGACGAATGTTGCAGTGAAACCGCACCATACCTTTGGAGGGTTCAAGGCACTTGATGGATTGCGCGCGGGTTTCACTTGCCCAAATGCGGCAGTGTGCGTATTTACTTGACCATTTAGGTGAAAACGGCCTCATCCGTCCAAAGGTTGTTTCCACGGCCAAGCAGCATTGACTTCCATTCTGGCAGGAACTGCAACGCAAATGTTTCCCGAACTACAGGATCCCCGTCGGACAGCTGATGACGACTATGGATTTTACAAGGAAAATAACCGAGGATTCGACGCATCACACGCCAGACGGTCGTATAGGGCATATCAACAGCACGAGAAACAGTTGGCACACTGACACCATGTGGCTCTAGTGGGGTCCACGACAGCCGAAGTAACGTCTTCTGCGCGTGCAGATTCCACAACCTGTCGTCCTCTACCTCGTAAAATTCTCAGCTGTCCCGTTCTTTCGAACTTCTTCATCATGTCTCGTAGAGCGCGTGGTGTCATTGGTCCTCGGCGTAAGATCTTAAGCTGAGGGAATGCTCTTATCGCAGCACAGGAGTTCTCGTCATTCTGGTAGAAAAGTTTCACTAACAGAGCTTTGTCTTTCAAAGTCGCCATTGTGCATCATCGAGCTGGAAACAATTGCCTGTGCAAGGCCTGTCTTCCACTTTTGTAGGGCTCGTCTTTTGGATATGTTGCGCAGAAGCTTTATTTCTGCAAATCACGTTGCTGCAATATGCACATTACTAGTGTTACAGCGCAACCTATCGGCAACTTCTTGTACTAATTTTTTTTGTGTAATAAATCTCGATCTGAAGTATCTGTTTTTTAAAATTTCATCACATTATGGCCCATACAACACTCTGCACAGGCTTCTGAGTTGGGGAAGTTTAATTTTGATAACCCTGTATTTCAGAATAAATATCTACTAAATGGTCACATTTGATTTTTGTATTAGTTCGGTTTCTATAACATGGATTATATAACAAGGTTCTAAAAACCAAATCAATTTGTCATATCAATAATTTATTTTTGCTAAAGTAATGTTTAAAATGCAATAAAATACTTAAAAATATTCTTCACGATAGTGAATGATATGTCAAAAACTCATCAAAATGACATTTTATATTGTCTCTTGCTTTAGAAATTCTTATGTAATATCCCAGTTTTCGGCCATTTGCTTCAATTCTGCTAAAATTAGTTCAGATTCATTTCGTAGTTTCTTTGTATTTATTGCAAGCATTATTTAAAGATTGCATAGCTTAATCTAGACATGTGTTAGTTTTCTGTAATATTTTTAAAGTATAATTTATTCCAGTTAATACTTTATATGTAAATAAACAAATAACAGTGCCTATTGAGGAGAAGTCAAACAACAAGAATCAACATTATATTTGTAAATTTGCAGGATTAGTTTCGATGGTTTAACTTCAGAACCATTTTCCTCAGCTGCCAAAGTGCAAATGAACAAGGTGAGATTTCCAGTTTTATACATAAGATCACCATTCTGGATAAAAATTCCTGAGGTATTTATAGGATTCCTTCCCAACGTGGTTTAATTTATATTGGTCAAAATAAGACAGCCTTAAAATTTCGCGTAAAGAACACGAGGCATATGTTAAGAAAAAGGAAACACAGAAATCCGCTGTTGCCCAGCACTGTTGGGCCGAAAATCGCACTTTCCATTTTTCTGCAGCCAAAATTATTCAAAAACCATCTTCTGTTGGTGAATTAGATTTTTACAAGCGTTTCAAATTCAAAAAAAAATCTTTTCTCTTTTAGTTTATGACCCTAATTTCAATCTATCTTTACCTTCAACCTTTAAGGAAATTATGTTTTAGATTTCTTGTTTCATCAATAGATGACGCCAGTACCTTAACTCCTGTCCAGCCGTTCTTATGTTATCTTACCTCGTTCATTTGCAATTTGGCAGCTGAGGAAGATGGTTTTGTAGTTAAACCATCGAAATTAGTCCTGGAAAATTTATAAATATGATGCCGATTCTTATTGTTTGACTTCTTCAATAATCATTATTCAGCGTGTTATTTTAACTTAAATAACAATGAATTCAAAAGCTGATTTACAAAAACACTAAATGATACATAGTAATAAGTTAACTTTTACTAACTTGTAAAGATGTAGTCCTTTTCATAAACTTCTCCTTTAGCTTTTGGTTTTCTTTAAGTTTGGATGCTATCTTTTGCAAAGAAGGTTCTGCTTCTACGGATTGACTTAATACTATAGCATGCGATTCAATTAGTCTGAAAAGGTATATGTCGTTATATATTTATTTATTAATAATTAAACAGCAGATGTTTCATTTATCAAAATACCCGATTATGAGACCTAATCAAGTTTTAAAACAAATATGTAGCCAAATAAAGCGTCTTATTTTCGAGTAAATATGGTAATCATCTGTCGTAGGTTGGTTTATTTGATCACTTTATCTTGTTTTCCTCCTTTCATTTTAGCAAAGCATGCGAGGGCTAACGAAAGAGATGCATTCGTTGGGAAAATCACCAATACATGCTCATGCAGCCAACCCTCTCATCTGGAATCGAACCTCCGTCAAACTAGCAGTAATCAGTGGCTTTATTGCTCGGTCGCTGGTGGTCTCTCGTTTGTCGTAGGCGTTGATTAAATATAACCATAGTGTAAACACTTTTTAAAATGTCGTCATTTCCAATTTTGCGGTCCAGTTGCGGCAGTTTTTACCATTGAACTATCCACAATTATATATTTGTATATTTCTTTAATACGAGTAGCATAAATATCAGGATAAGCAGGTGTCTGTATAAATATACGCTTTTCGAACGGAAGAGGTAATTAGCCTTGTTTCGGGATGCAAGATGAGAGTAATTTTTCCAGTGTTTTGCGCATTCTTGCTTTTGTAAAGACAAACTCAGGGAAAGCTTTTAACAAATTTGAATATTTAAAAGACAAGAAAGTTTTTTAATTTTAATATTTGTGTACTATATATTCATGAGAATGTATTCTTCTGACTCAAATGATTTAAATAAAAAATATTGGACAAAGATTGTCCTGCTTTCCTCCTTTATTTGGAGCCTAGTAGCACTCCTTGTATTAGAGTAATTAGAATTTTTTTAAAGCAGGAGACATGAAAAATGAGCAATTCCCTCCCCGGCACTTAGACCTGGACCTCTCGAATACGCGTCAAACGTGCTAACCGCTACACCACGAAGGCATGCTGGAATGACGGAGAAACTACATCCCTTTTAAAGGACGTCCTGAGAAGGGGACCCAATCTCCAAATCCTGGTGGTGAAGAATCATCATCCACCAACCTTTAATTAGAGCGCCACTATAGAATTATTAGGATTTTTTTAAGCAGGAGACATGAAAATATGAGCAATGCCCTCGCCAGGATTCGAACTTGGACTTCTTGAATACGCGCCGAGTATGCTAACCGTTACACCACAAAAGCGTGCTGGAAGGAGGGAGAAAATACCTTATACTATTGACGTGGCCTGTTATGACCATAAGACCAACTTGTTTGGTTAGATGCGTCTGGCTGCGCCCACATCTGGCAACTTATAGTATTGCATTCTATTGTTGCATGTTATGGGTTCATAATATACTGAATACACGCAGAACCGATGACAGGTTGGTACAATTTATTTCACCAAAAGGAACACTTCACGGTTCTGGAACTTTCCACAAAAATACTAGTTTAGTTCTTCTCGGTGTCACAGAGCACAATAAGTAGTTACACTTCAAACTGCTAAGAATCTTAAGCTGCGTTCAGACGAGGACGTAAAGGGCATAAGTGGTTAAAGCCAAACTCTGTTGCCAAGGCTGTGCTACGACACAAAATCTGGTTTAGGGCTCGTGGCATAGGATTCAAAGTTTTCAACTTTACGCAGAGTTTGTGATAAGCGTCGACCAATCAGAGCGAAGCTAAAACAAAGCGGCTTTATGCAGAAGATTTCGTTGTCACAAAACAAGCAGAGCGAACGCGGGAAACCAGTCGCGCAGGAGAACAGCACGGGAAAGTTGTAGACACATCCCCGCATGCGCAAATTTAGTTTCTCTCATTGGCCCCAGCTTACACACCATTCTCGCATGTGTGAACAGAACTCCCGTATTTTATGCCCTTATGACTATGCCTCTATGCCCTTTACGCCACCGTCTGAACGCAGCTTGAAGCACAACGTAATGCAAAGCGCATCTAAAGAGCTAAACTCACACGGAGATATCTCAATACTCCGAAATCACGCTGAACTAAACAACTGAGAAAAAATTGATGAGTTGTTCCACTCTCCGGTTTTATATAGCTTTCTTGCGGCCGCCGAGAAATCTCTAGTACCTTCCACTTCTCGAAATTACTGATAAGGGTCGGATACGATTAGTTAGATATAGAGATTAATTGCAGTTATTCAATTACAATACCAATTACATACAGAACCAGACCAAAATGTCGCCAAGTTTGGCGACTTTTGGTGATCCATCGCTAAATTTGGTGATAAAAATTGGTCGCCGAAAACCATCACCAGCTTGGCGATATCTCGCCAATTTAATAAGATAAGCCATTTACTCAATATTAAATAGACTTCCCCTGTATTTTTATTTTTCTGGCATAGCATCGTCTCTTTCAAGCATGTCATGTTACATTATGTAAAAAAATCTGATGTGTACACCACATGACTTCCTTGTACAGAATATTAAATTATACGCATTTTTTCTTGCATTTCATTTAAACTTATTAGATTGAATTAAACCGACTTCGACGACAGCGCATAAACCACAATAGAATAAATGCATTCTTTAAAATTCACTTTGTTTACCATAGCGACACTCTGGCGCTAGGTTTACTTAACAGTTCAAATATTTCGTTCATATTATAACTCAGAATGCACAAAATTTATATCATTTAAAGAATTATCTAATCGTTGCCACATGTTCTATTCAAATACTATAATAAAGCTAGAACTATGTATAAAAGAAATTAAGCAAACAAAACAAAAAAGAAACAGTTTTTCACAGACGATTGAGTATTTCTCATTCAATTAATTAAGTTTTCACTTCGCGACAAGGCAAAAATACGTACTGTATTAAAAATTACGAAGTAAATCTTAAACGCTTATTTCCTCGAAAAAATTCCAGAAAGGATTAAGCATGATTTAAATAATAAATGAAGGCGTTATCTTTGTTGTTGCGAGGCTAAGTTTCTCTAGATTGGCAACAAATCCGCTACTCAGCTGTTTCAAATGTTAACAAGAGCAATGGCCGCCATCAAATTAGGCTTAGCGGCACTTAAACAATTTTAAAATTGTTGGCAACAAATCCACTATCCTGCTGTTTCAAATGTAAACAAGCAATGGCCGCCATTAAAAAAATTATTAGGCTTAGCGGCACTTAAGCAACTTTAAAATTGTTGATAACTCTAAAAATATTGCATACAGATTTACTAAAGGCATAAACCCTTAACCGGAAGATAAGAACAACATAATTCAATCATTTTTAAAGCAAAAAATGTACAATTTACAAACATATAAGAGTAAAGAAAGACTGAGATCATTTTTGCCAGTCGGGTAACAGAGTGGATATATATATAAATATATTTATATACGTTTGGTGCGGCCGATTGCAACCAAAATACGAGGTGCACATTTTACATGTTATAGCAGTCCTATATACAAAATTTCAACGTTCTGAGGCTGCTCGTTTTTGAGTTATGCGAGATACTACGTACATACGTTCGTACAGACGCCACAAAAAAAATTCTCTTCAGAATTCCATTTTAAAGCAGTTTTATAATTTTTTTGGGAGGAAAGGTGTGTTTTATTCTGTCCTTACATACAGATATCATAGAAATACATCGTTAAATTGCATTTGAAAGAGGTCAAAATGGGATATTTTCGTTGAAATATGCTGCCTGAAAATTTTCGCGATTACAATACTTCCTTTTTACTTCGTACAAGGAAGTAAAAATGCTACACTTTCACAGATAATTTCGCTAAAATTATTTACATATGTACAAAAATTCGTAACACTATTTATATTAATTATTCCTAAATTATAACTATCAAACTACATTCTCTTCCTAATGAAATGACTGGAAATGCTTAATAATTTATTTTTTAGCTCAATCAAATAAAAAGCTACTTTTCAGTTTTGTTGTATTTTGCATTATATTTAGCCAGGTTTATGAAGAAATTTCAGTTAGTAGAGTTACGGTAAGTATAGTTAATCATACAATATGCTAGATTCATGTATTTCATTCAAATTATATTTGTTCTATAATATTTACTTAAATTTTGAAATCCGATAGAGGCATGCTAATCCTTCAGCAACATGACCCCCTTTCTTATTAAATGTGCCTTTGAGACCAGTCGTTGACAAGACAGGAACTAGATCGTCATGAAAAACTTTCTGATCCACTTCCTGTAGACAAATAATATCAGCGTTGTAGCCTGTAAAATTGCAAAAATGAATAATGAAGCAATCATACTTTGACTGGATTTAAAACATTTATTATCAAAACGTAATTTTATATTTATTTCTCATTTCGGATGGATTTCATTTGAATTGCGATTCTCCTGAAGAAGAAATATTAAACTTGACCAAAACAAAACAGTAAACAAATTAATATTTTCTGCCGATTCCCAGATTTTAGTTTATCTTTCTAACTAAATAGTTCAATGATTAGATGTGATCTGTAGTTGTCGCTGGCTAGCAATCGAAAGGCTAAAGCCGCGAAATGCTTCCTGGGTTATCTTTACTGAATAGGCTTTCACTTGATCTCGTCATCGGTAGTATAATTAGGTTAATTTCCTTTAGAATATAAATATCCTTCACGAAAGGCTCTCTTTCCATAAGCGGCAAATAGTAGTTCTTTGTATACTTTGCAGCTTTGCCTTAATTGCAATCTAATAACCGAATCTATTTGTGCAGAACTAGATTGAGTTATACATGACCTATCTTTAACTGTATATCAAAAATAAGTAGCATTATAATTCATATTTATACGTAGTTACATCTACATCGCAAGCAGAATAATTCCTTTCCTCCTCCTTCTTATTTTTCTAAATATATAATTATTCGCACATTTATCTCCCTGCACATCACACAAAATCAAATATTCAACGCAAAATAGTAATAATCTTTATGACCTAGGCTAGATGAATTAAGTATGGCAAAGCATTCTTATGGAAGAGACCATTTTGTGGAGGATTTTTATTACAAGAAGGTTACCGGTATTCAAGTAACATAGGTGGCCGTCCTGTTCGGTCAGCCCTGTATACTTAAAGTATAGCTGATGAAAATTCCAGGGCGAAACAGAATGGGGGTATGAGTGGGTGGAAACAAAAAATGAGGGGAATCTTGGTGAGAGAGAACGTTTTCTTTGACCGCGGCTCTCTGCTGATATAATTATAGCCATCAAGCAGATGTATGTTAGGGTAAAATGAGTCCTGAATCTGACTTCTAAGGATGAATGTAAAGTTGCTGGTTACGCTCCCCCCCCCCACACACACACATTAGTGGATACTGTAGGAAGACGATGTATAGGACGTGCTTGAGCAGTTTTTGTCAATATTTCACTCTTATTGTACTCGCTGTCACTTAGCGCACATTTAAGAACTCAAATTTTCCTTCCTGCGAGGATAACTAACTATAAGCATCGATAACAATAAACTAGATACTATGGCATGGGGAGAAACTTACGCGTTTCTAAACAAACTCCTCCAAATTTATTGCCCTTCTTAAAGGGAAAGGTTTCCGCATGTGAGTGAGGGGACTTTACTTGGACGTCTCATGTTCTCATGAGTTCGTATTTCTAGGGAAATAGAGTATTGTAAGGTCTGCTTATTGTTAAACTAAAACATTAGGAATTCTATTTTTTTTTTTTTTTTTTTTAATTGTGGTTCAGTTTTATAAAAAGAAGTACCGGAGCTCATCTTATTTAGGGCTCCGGCGAAATTTAAGCACTGGATAAGGCCCTAAGCTATTTGAGATATGGGGCTATTTGAGATATAAAGTCTTTTATAATATATTTTAATATTATTTATACTATAATTGGGGGGCTAAGCTATAGCTTGTGTAGCTTATACGTAAATCCGGCCCTGTATGTCCATACCGAATTTCATTAAAACCTGTGCATGAGTTCTGCAGAAAATCGATTAAATGTTAAAATTCTTTTAATTTTGAACACCAGTATAGAAATTATGACAAATTACTATGCGAATAATTTAATTCCGAAGGACACAATTACACTATGACCATAACAAATGAAAAGTAATCATGGTTAAGCTCTAGGTAACTATCACAATAACAAACCTGCATTCCAGTAAGAATACATAATAATGTTAACATTAGAATATAAATCATATTCATTTTGAATTCCTTGTAACTTAAAATCTCGCCTTTTGCTATTGTTGTCTGTGTTACTCCTTAGGTCTCAAATCATCCATAAATAATTAGAAAAGGTGGATGTGCAACAGAGTCGTTGAAGTCATACGCTGAATGTCAGTCCGTGTTTGTTTCGCTATGATTGGTCGGTAGGCTGGTATAAAGTTCAACAGTTAGAATTAGAAGGAAAATGTTCGGAGTTACCTTCGCAGGTAATTTGAAGAAGCTTGTATTTGTTAGTAAGGCTAAAACAAGCACTACGTGGATGAATTCATTTCAAAATTTAAGTGAACTCGTTCTTTAACTGTACTGAAAAATTGAAAATTACGCAAATATTTTTTAAATTTTCAGAACCTGGCCCTGGAAAGCTAGAGGAGAAAATTCGGTATATTTGCAGAGGTTGACCTGATCTATCTCATCAGATTAATTGTGAAGATGATATCAAACTAAATGTGAATAGTTTTACATGGAATATTTGGTTACTATAGTGTAAAGACTATGGTATTGTAGTGTAAAAATGTTTTACATCAAATAATTTGTGCATTTTTTGCTCATTTGGAAATTTTGAAGATATCTAAAAGCATCCATTTATATATATGTGGAAATACGTTAATTAAATAATTAATCCCCGGGGGAGGCACGTGAGGGGTACGCGAAGCAATTCTCAGTAGTGTTGTTGTTGTTAGCTTGCTCATGAATTTCATGGGAGACTGGACTTCTATTTCCACTGCAATTTTGAAGGAGAGCACCGCGGGGGGGGGGATTGTTTCTTGGGTCTCCTACCTCTCTTCCCTACCTCCAATCCACACGAAAGGACTTTCGGCTATCCATATATTTAGAGTGCCCCCATGCTGCAAAAACACTATACATTTACAAACATCCATAAGTTCTCTGGAATTCGAACTCGGGCCCTTCGGTACCGCAGTAGGCTTCCCTAACCACTATCCCGTCTCTGCGGCATTATCAGTAATAAGATATTATAATAAATGCTGATATAAATCAAAATACAAAAAATTTAAATTCGACATTGATCAGAAAGGAAATCAGTTTGGCTAATTCGATGTGAATGGTTACTGTCCGAAATGTATTTCAAAGAAATCTAACATATCGTAGGTAATTCCGTCGATATTTGTTCATATTATTTAATTCCACATGCATCATATCTAAGCATTCCCTTTCTTGTTCTATAACAACTGTCTCGTAGACGACTACTGTATTTTCGGCATTTAGTGAAAAATCAAGTCGGTTATGTAGCTTTTGAGCGTTGGAGCTTTGGTTTCAACTTGTGTATCTTTTAAACATGCAAAATTGTGAAGTGTTGTTTACATAAAAAAAAGGTAAATTATTAAGTCGATTATTGCACAGAAAAGAAATTGCTTGGGGACAAATAAAGCCGGTTTAGCGTCTGTGCCAAGCACGTTTTGGGAGGCCACCCATTTCAAATGAGCTTGAAAATTAATAGTGATAAATAGCTTTAAGGACTTGCATAACTATCCAATATTTTAATAAAGTAAATAAATTGCGCTTGGAAGTACCGAACATGTCCCTAAATGTTTTCAAAGCAGCTGACAAAATTGATTCTTTGCTCCGTTAAAGCAATTACCCAAAAAAAAAAAAAAAAAAAATTGAAACTTAAAATTAAAATATTTATGAAATATGAATGGCAGCAATTCGTTCAACGGGCAGGAAGACCAAGTTTACGGTGCGCAAAGTTGAAAGTTGACTTTTGCTCTCACTGGGCAAAAAGACACTCTACTTAGTGCACCAACACACTTAATTCCCTGTTCTACTAAGAGTTTCAAATATAAACAAATGGCGGCCTTGTTAGGCCTAGCGCCACTTAATTTTTTAAATTATTGATAATTCTACAACTATTGCATGCAGATTAACTAAATGCATAAAAATGTTAACCGGAATATAAGAACAAGATTCAACCACTTTTAAAGCAAAAATGCACAGTTTACTAATATATAAGAATAAAAGTATTGAACTCACCGAGCCGGACAACAGGGTGAGAATATACTTTAACACATTTGCCGTCGATTGTAACGAAAAAGTGAGGTTTGCAACTACATGTCATAGCAGTCCCATACACAAAATTTCAGCATTCTACGGCTACTTATTTTCGAATGCATACATACATACATACGTCACGAAAAAATTGTCTTCTTAATCCACTTTAAATCTATTTTACAATCTGTTTTGGAAAGAAGAGGCCTTTATACTCTTCTTTCCCTTATGTACACATACCACGCAAAAACTCATTCAAATGGATTAGACAGCGATCAAAATGGATATTTTCGTTGAAACATGCTATCCGAAATTTTTCGCGATTACAATATTTTCTTTATTTTGTACAAGGAAGTAAAAATTGGAAAAGAGAGAGAAAAGATTAAAACCGATTTTGCTGATTCTGGTTCTTTTACGACAAGATATAAAACTGAAGATACGATTACCCATGTCTTAAATGTTCAGCAATTTCCAAGAAACACAATAAATCAATTTCTTGAACGCTAGCTGGAAAAACAATAAATCAATTTCTTGAATGCTAGTTGGAAAAGCAAGAACTGAGTTAAATAAAATTAACATGATTAGGATTTCTGAAGTGCGATATGAATTAACGTAGAGTTTTTTTTTTTTTTTTTTTTTTTTTTTTTTTTTTTTTTTTGCTAATATGGCAACATGCGACTCCTGAATGACAAAAACCTTGCCGTAATCCCATTTACAATGGGTGCAATAAATTAAAGGGAAACCAAATAGGAAAAGAGAAAATGTAATTTAGAGATCTTACGTGAAAAGGTAATTCATTCACAACATTTCAGTTAAGTGTAATGAAATCCTAAGAGTAAATTAAAAATATTTATTAACCAAAAGGTAGTTGACAAATATTATGAAAAATAATTCCAGTATATTATAAAATATGCATTTAATTCTCAGATTAATGGTCAAGAATGCAAAATACCTTTTGCAGTCAAAACGAAAATTAAACTATTTATGACTGACCAGAAATACTTCTTATTATATCATAAAAATATTTTGATAAACTCAATACCACCAACAATACTCCCATTAGTTTTAATTTAGAGATTTTCGAATTCCGGTGAGAGCATAGTCGGCGCTTCCCATTTCTCGGCTTCGAAAAGTTTGGAATTCTTCACAGAGAAGTTCGAATTAAGATGTGGTGGACAACAGTTCGTCATAACCTCGATTTAATCGACTAGATCTCGTGCTTTATCCGAGTGGTGGAGAATGTAAGAAATTATCGCATCTCATCGTGCACGCTGCCGTGTATAAATGATTAGCACACTTACTTATCAAATGGAAGATCCGTGGTTTCAATCCTAGAGACAGCCCAGTAGATTTTTAAAGTTTCCTGTCCTGAAAAAAAAAGCTAATAATCTCCACATATATATTATTTATTGAAAAGATGCCTATGTGGAAGATTTTCTAATGGAAATATCTCGCGTTTATGGTACACATAAAAAACAAATTATGAAAAATAGCATGAAACTCGCCCTGACATTCGAACCCAAATGCACTGACTTCAGCTACTAGTTTTAATTTTAAATCAGCTAATAAATGTTTTTGCATAGAAGAATTGAGTAAATTTTAGGAAACACACAAAATTATATTTATTTTGTATTCAATCATTCATTTAAAATATGTATGCCAATATGAAAATTAAATTTGAGTAATGTTTCCTTACCTAATATTTCTTTCAAAAACAGCTGCTTTCTATACTCCAGTGTCAAAGCTTCAGCAGTACAGTATGGAAATAATTGATTACGAGCTCTGTCAGAGTCGGCGTACAAATCAGCTAGAATGTTGTATGACACAAATCGCAAACTGGAATAAAAACATTAGCAATCATCAATCAGTATAAAAATTATGATTTCTTTTTAGATTTAAAACACATAGCATGAATCTGTAGAGATATTAGGTATTTTTTGGAAGTAGGAAAGATGAAAAATGAGCAATCGTCTTCGCCAGGAATCGAACCACGGACCTCTGCAATACCACCCCAGCGTGCAGAACCACTACACCACGAAGGCACGCTAGGAAGACGGGAGAAATGCCTTATATACTCCTCCCTTTTAAAGGGCGACTGGGGTTTTTAGGGGATCCCATCGCCGAGTCCTAGGTGAGGAGAATCATCATCCAATACCCTTTTTTTAGTTCGGGTGCCACTATAGAGACATTAGGTATTTTTTTGGAGCAGGAAAGATGAAAAATGAACATTCGCCTTCTTCGCCGGGAACCGAACCACGGACCTCTGGAATACCGGCCCAGCGTGCAGAACCACTACACCATGAAGGCACGCTAGGAAAGCGGGAGAAATACTTTATAATTCTTATTATCTTAAGATTCATGCTATGTTTTAGGCTATTATCATCGCAAGCCAAAATCAAAAGCAAGAGAGCCAAATACATAAAATTTATGAAAAAAAATTTCTGAAAGCTTTCAGATTTTACATTACACCCAAAAGCATTTTTTTAACCTTTTGTTTGTTACCTTTATTTATTAAATATTGTGTCCTTCGCACTTAAACCATAAAAATTAAATTCAACAAGCAATATCGCAAAATAATTTTTAAATGAGAATATCTTTAGAATTTCCGATACACAGTCTCGCGCGCTAGAGATAATTTTTTTCCCCGTTCAGTTTTGACACTGCTCGTTTTGAAATCGTTGAGTTTGTTAATCAAAAAATAGTTGAAATCGATAATAAAACAAACTTCAAATTCTAAATTAGGGCTTCCAGATGCCCATATTCTGGTGGAAACGTACGTTATTCAAAATTGGATGGCTCTAGGTACCATTGCTTTATCACAATGTGGGAAACATAAATACATTTATGCAAATTCTTCATTATTTAATTCCTTTGAATATAACGCAGGGCGATAATATTCGGTGGCAACAATTTGAAAAGTGAACTGACATTTATAGTGAATAAACGCAAAATGCCAAAAGAAGATTGATAGCCCTTCTGGGCTAACGCCCTTTGGGCTAAAAATCTGAAAGCTTTCACATTTTATATTACGAGGCTTCTTTTTAACGTTTTGTGTGTTACCTTTATTTATTAAATATCGTGTTCTTCGTACTTCAACCACAAAACTCAGTTCAACAGCAATATCAAAAAAACAATTTAAAAAAAGCATATCTTTAGAATTTCGGATACATAATCTCGCGCGCTGGTGATATCCCCCCCCGTACTGTGTTGATATTGCTTGATTTGAAATCGTTATATTTGTTAATCAAAAATTCATTAAAATTTTATAAAATATGAAATCGATAATAAAACAAATTCCAAATTTGGGCTTCCATATGCCCATATTCGAGTGGAGGACTATGTTACTCAAAATTTGATGTCTGTTGGTACCGTTGTGTTATCACAGTGCAAGAAACATACGTACATTCATGCAGATTTTTCATTATTTAATTTATTTAAATTATTTAATTTCTTTAAATATAAAGCAGGGCTCTAATATTTGGTGGCAACAATTTGAAAAGTGAAAGGTCGTTTATAGTGAACCAACGCAAAATGCCAAAACGAAATTAATAGCCCTTCTGGGTAAAGTGTCCCTTTGGGCTAATGAACCATGAAGAATCTACATAAAGATTCTGTAAATCCAATAGACATCAATTGCAAAACCTATTGCTATGATTTAAAAATGTGAATAATTCTTGTTTATATAAGAAAAATTGTGAATAGTTCTTGTTTATATAAGAAAAATTGTGAATAGTTCTTGTTTATATAAGAAAAATCGTGAATAGTTCTTGTTTGTAAAACAAAGTAAGTAAATTACCTCAATTTATCAGTCAGCTTTTTGGTATATTCATGCCTATCTTCAAATGGGCACCTACCAGGTCCTGGTTGAACAGCACTTGCAGAAATCGTATTTGCCTCTATTCCTGTCTTTTCGCCATACTTTGGAATACAGGAAACTTTTAATTTGAAGCCAACATCACTCTCTTTTGGTACATAAATGAAACCATCCCATACCTCGATCCAGTTTTCCTTTTTCAATTTAGTAACATCAGTATTTTTAGTTTTAGGATGCTTATCAAGTTTGTTTGATATATACCACTTAAAAACACTTTCGTCTTTTGTACAAGATTCTAAAATAACTTTTGGATACGCGGGAAAGCCAGCCATAATGCGTTTTGGAGCATGCAAATCGGTCACTGCAGGTAAATTTTCATATATTTCATACACACAATCGTTAATTTTCATTCGAATATGCGAAGTCCATACCTCATTGTTCTTTTTGTTCTCATCAATTCTCACCCCATCTTTCATCAGCAATACGTCCACAGAAGGTAATTCTGCTTCATCCTTTAAGTGTTTTTTCTTTACCTTGGAAATCTTCCGTGTAATTGAGTTTTGTATTTTAATTCGTATCCGTGAAAGAGTTGCTTCTAATTTCTCGTTTTCGGATCGCAGAAAACAAAAACTTTGATCGGGTAATTCTGAATTTCCATAAACAAAAGTAATTTTCATTGCTTGATCCTCATCTAAATGTTTGACGAAAACTTTTGGAAACTCTACCATTTTTTTTTTTTACACATGAGGAAAAACGAACTAACAGAAGATCAGGATATGAATATGGCCGAAATGAAAACGGAAAACAGCCGCAAAAGACAGATCGTTGTCAGCGAAAACTGTGATGCCTCGTTCAACCGATAGAAGATATGCCAAATAAGCAAGGAACACTTCCAATAATAATGAGAGCAATAATGCACGTGGAGCGTGACGTATTGAAGAGATATCTTTTAGAGATAACGTACGGAAGAGAAATTATATCACATTGTGCAATGCAGGTTTACGGATAATTAGGCAATTGTGTATTTATCATTATACAATAGATTTAAACCGCAGTCGTGGCGGCGTGACCTTCCTTTTTTTTAAAACACAATTTTTATGTTATTTAACCGTCGGAAGCGTTTTTCCCTCCCCTTCCCCATTTACAAATTCATTTTTTCCCCTCTTTCTGCCATTACAATCCTTTTTCTTGCATGCTTTTGTCCATAATATACTTTGTTGAAAAATAAAAAGTATTAAAAGCAGCTTTTATAAAATAAGGTTTTATTTAAATATTATAAAATTATTAATGAACCAAAAGGAGAAAAATAATTTCTCATATGGTTTTTATGGGAACAACAGATTAGGTACTTTTCTCTACAAAATTCCTCTGCAATTTTATATCAAGAATAATAAATAATAGTGGGGCGTCCTTGAAAAATTTGTAAAGATAACTTTACATTAAATTACTTTAAATTAGATTTTCAATCACATTACTTTTCACTATTTAGGCTTCCACTCTTTTATTATTTGTAATATAAAACTGTAGATGAATGTTGTAAAATGACTTATTTAATTTCGTGTTTCCGTTAAATTATATGATAAGTATTTTTCTCCTTTCATTTTATTAATTATTTGAGTTTTAAATAAGAGCTGTTTTTCCCCCCACGGCAGATTATGATTATGAATAGTTACAGTGCAACATAATCCATTACAAGGCCACATACGAGGCCAGATGTGATGGTCTCTTTATTATGGAGGCACCTAATAGGTGGGCCACATCGCCTCCTATGAAGGGACTGACAGTTACAACCATGCCTTCTCTGGGATTCGAACCCAGGCCCTTTAAATAAGAGCTTATTTTATTTTTAAAAATATTTTTTAATATTTTTTACTTTCAGTTATCAATTAATTAATTATTTGCAATCAATATAATAATTATAATCGGGGGGATATCACCAGCGCGCGAGATTATGTATCCGAAATTCTAAAGATATGCTTTTTTTTAAATTGTTTTTTTTTTATATTGCTGTTGAACTGAGTTTTGTGGTTGAAGTACGAAGAACACGATATTTAATAAATAAAGGTAACACACAAAACGTTAAAAAGACGCCACGTAATATTAATTATTTGCAATTAATTTCCAGTTATCAGTTATGTCGTTATCCATTGAATTATTCATTTGAAAAAACATTTTTAAACGATGACTAAACACTTGTGAAGTTTATCTGTTTATTTTTAACTAATAGTTCATTTTAAGTTGAAAGACTTTCCTATTACTCTCTTTTCACCCACGCTTTTCATGTCAGAATGTAAAATGAGATAGCGAGAGTTTATTCAGATTAAGGTAGAATGAAGTGCTATTCAAACAAAAGTTTCGGAAGTTAGTTTTAGAGCGTGTCTGCCTATTCCAGGCCGCGTTGTGCTGTGATTGTTAACGACTTGCGTCAGCGGCGTTTTGTGTTCTAGCCATTTAGCTTTGTCTCGCCGGTTTAAGACAAACCAGAGCTCTTCCTGTGCGTTAAAGTATTCTTTTAGGCTAATCTACCACACCTTGAAATTATTATTTGTTACGTATTTCTATTCAGCCAGAAGTGCTTGGCTAACTCAAACTGAGTCATTTGTTAATTTGATGTTTGACCAATAAGGTCTTATACTTCCTTCTTCTCATTTATGTTTTGTTTCACAAGGCTAAAAGATAATTCTTCAAGAGTCCTTTTTAAAAGTCTATTTCCAAAGGGACACAGATTTTATACTGGCGCCCGAACTATAAAAAGAACTGCTATGTCACAAGAAACATCACTATAGTTTCGCTTCAGTTCCGTCAAGTTTCTAATTTAGTTAAAGCGGAATGGCAACACTTTCTAGTCTCCGCGAAGAACGAAGCAAACAAAATTCGGTTTTCATACACACACTACAACTGCGTACCATCCAGATGGCAAATGGCCTGATCGAAAGACAACACCGAACTTTAAAAGCAAGCCTCAAATGTCATCTACTCGAATCAAAATTATGGCTGGAAGCATTGCCTTTCGTTCTTCTAGGCATAAGATCTGCCATCAAGGAAGACTTGGGTTGCTCATCTGCAGAACTTGTATACGGAACCGCTAAGCATTACCAGGAGAATTCTTTTCAATACAACCTCATATGAAACAGTATGAATTTTCTCAAAACCTTCAGAAAATAATAAGAGATATGAAGCTAAGTCCTACCAACACCCATGGAAATAGAACAGTCTTAGTTTCTAAACATCTTTCCAACTGTTTTCACTTATTCTTATACAACAACATTAATAATTCTTCACTACAGCCTATCTATTTTTGACCGTATCCTATAAGAGCAAGAAAGGATAAGTATTTCGATATTGAAATCCACGGAAAAGTTAAAAGAGTTTCAATAGACTGACTAAAGCCATGTTTTCTAGTGAAAGATTCTGATACTCCTTTCCAAGACTCCCATTCCAAGAAAGCAGAACTTGGGGAAACACCTGCATTCAAGAACACTGAAGAAAACTCCCATTCCAAGAAAGCAGAACTTGGGGAAACACCTGCATTCAAGAACACTGAAGAAAATTCAGAAACTCAGCATGAAACCAAGACTACTAGAACTGGCAGACATGTGAAGTTCCCGAGACACTTTAAAGACTATCTTCCATAATCGCTGTCACTAGGAAGGGGTGTGTAGTGTCTCTTCAGTTCCTTCAAGTTTCTAATTTAGTTAAAGGGGAATGGCAACACTTTCTAGTCTGCGAACGGAGTAAACAAAGTTCGGTTTCTATCACGCGATTCAACGTGCATGTAAAATGTAAATAAATTTCATGAATTAGTATCTATAACTTCGTAAGGAATAAAATATTGATTCTATTGGAGTCAGAGAAGTGTTATTTTCCTACATTTGCACACGAGACACTTTCAATCACCATTTAACATTTTGCCCTCAACATTGCAAGCCCCGTCTCGACCATGGTGAATTCCATAGAGGGATTTGAGTTTATTGTTGACACCCTTAGAGCTGCTTTGAAACCAGCAGCAATTTTTAATGGAAAGACGTCTGTATTAAGTTTTCTTGAGCAGTTGAATTCACATTTTTTGCTGCATCCGGTGCAAGAAACACAAAAATTTGCTATCGCCACATCCGCCCTTAGAGAGCAGGCTACTACGTGATACACTGACTACCAATAAGTATTTGGACACCTGTGATAGAAAAGAAAAACTAACTTTATTCAAAATCAATAGTTGGTAGAGCCTCCACGAGAGGTGTGGTATTTTCTTCCACTCGGCTTTATTTTCTTCCACACCCCTGAATTCGGCGATGCAACTCGTCCCAGAGGTTCTCGATAGGGTTCAGGTCTGGACTCTGGGCAGGCCAGTCCATTCGATGAAATCCATTGGCACCATACCAAGCCTTGGTGAACGTCGAAACATGACAACTGGCATTGTTGTCCTGAAAGTAACAGGGGTCCAGCCCGTAAAACTGCCACAACGTAGGAAGCATATAGTCATCCAAAATAGTGCAGTAGGCATCGGAGTTGAGCTTACCACGAATGGGGACCAAGGGTCCCAGCCCATACCAGGAGAAACACCCCCAGACCATAATTCCACCTCCGCCGAACTTGACTGTTGGCACAATGCATTCTGGCAGGAGACGTTCTCCAGGTAGACGCCAGTCCCAGACCCTGACATTCGAACGGTAAATGGTGAACACATTGCATAAAAGGGTGAACATTGATTCGTCACTCCAAAGAACCCGTTTCCACTGATCTACGGTCCATTTCGATGTGCTTTGCACCACATTAACCGAGCAGCGCGGTTGGACTTTGTGATCAAAGGCTTATGGGCAGCAGCACGACGATGAAAACCAAGTAGAAGTGCTTCCTTACGGATGGTATTCATTGAAACAATACTCCCGGATGCCTGTTGAAACTCCTCGCGGATGAGGGCCATCAGTTGGGTGCGGTTCTTCCGAATTTCTCTGGACAGCACTCGTTGGTCTCTATCTCCCAGTTTCGTTGGTCTACAGACTCGGGGCACATTCCGACAATCACCGCTAACCTTCCACTTCTTAATCACATAGCCCACTGTCGATTTTGGGTACTTCAGATCGCTAGATATGTCCCTTAAGGATCGGCCACATTTGTGGTACCCGATAATAATTTTCTCGAAATCAGAGAGCTCCGAACTGCGAGGCATCTTGCATGCGACTAAAGCCGATGCTGTTTCCTACACGATATATACCGGCGGAGTCTGTGACGTACCTTGGAACCGCAGATATAGTCATTTGCATAGGTGTCCAAATACTTATTGGTAGTCAGTGTATAAATGCATTGGCAAATTCATCTTGGGTGAGCCTGTGTAGCCAAAGCTTCAACTTTGAAAATTTTAAGAACGCGTTAATTAAAGCGTTCCCCTTAGTGAAGGATAGAGCCAAGCTCGAGCTAGAGCTATTCAGCAAATTTCAGTATAAAATCGAGGATCTGACGGACTTTATTTTGCGGGAAGTCCAAATTTTTATATGTTGTACGGCAAGACGCCGAACGAGGAAGTCATTCAAATAATTTTTGCCGCGACTCATACCCCCGGCTCAGGACTACTTTGAGCTTCGAAAGCCAACAGCGTTGGTAAACTTATTAGAGTTAGCCACAAAGTTCCAAAATCGACGAGTGGCAGAGAAAAATCGAATGACAGGGTACGGTGGTAAGCCAACAGAGCGAAGTTTTAGACCAACGCCTCAAGAAAAACCGCAGTTTGGGCCGAAGAAGAAGTTCGAAATTCAACCGGGCGGGAACAGAAAAGACGTAAACAAAAAGCAGGGGAACCAGTTAAACTAAAATGGGGTGCCGGGAAGAGGGTCCAGTTACCCCAGAATAAGAAAAAGCCCTCAGAAATTAACCCTTT